AGCTCGATCACCCCGTTCACAGAGTAAGACCAGAACCCTTCTTTCATCGAAAATTCAAATGGCCTTAGCGAGTGCGCTCAGCGGCTGGATAATACTGTGATAAGGCATAGATACAGTTCGGAATGGAAACGCCTCAAAAGAACCCCATCCACTGCTCCTTCCCCCGATGACGCCATGCAGCTTCACAGTCGTCTTAGCTCATTCAAGAAAGTTGATAATATTTTCCTGAATGCTACCAGGTAGTATGATTCCGCCCTTCCATCTCTAATTAGCTGATGTGGCAGCGAGCGTCCCTGTAAGGGTTTCGTAACTTGTGATGTTTATCCCTCGGCACTTGTGATTGGATTTATTGGCTGGTCAAGTTCAATCTGTTCGTTATCGATGGGCCTCATGAGGAACTCAAATCATGGAGTGAATGAATTAAACTTAAATGCATGCGGCAATTTTATTAAAACAGCTCGTGTGTCTTTTCTCTGGAAAATGATGCGAAAATGATGTGTGCACTCTTCTAGGTTTTTGATCGTGTCCATGATGGCTTACTGTTTACTGCCCGCAGTATATAGCACGGCGAAATACATAAACTGATAATAAGTGGAATTCAGCAGAAACTATGCCATTTGAGACGTGAATGCTTTCTTTCCTCACGGTAAAACGGCAGTGCTTGCACGGTAGCCTAATGCGTAGAAGCTACTACACTAGCACGCCGCATCACCACGTGCGCATCTAAGGTAGTGCGTTAATCTCCAGGGAGTGCCTTTCGTTAAAAAGTGATGGAAAATTATATGATTCGCGTGCCCAGGCAAGCCTGCTGGTGGGGACCAGAAAAGAGGCTTGAGGCGAAGCGTTACAGATGGCATTTAGACCTGTGTTTCTCAGCTTGTAAAATGTCCTCTCAGGTCGTTTGGGCAGTTTGTAAGTTGCGTCTTCTTGGCAAACCTTAGTAATATTACTGCTTAGCGCGTTCGATTTGCTCTTCCTGCCGAGAAGTACTAAGCATGCGGTTTCAAGATACAAGCAAAGGTATTGCACTCCTGGCCTGACGACGCATTGTGGAATGTGGAGCAGTATGTAAGCGTCCACTTCACACTGAAATTACATTTTCTGTACGAGAGTGTTCTTCTCATGCGAGTACGAGCCAAGGCTATTATTTGTTGCCAAGCTGGCAGCTCGCACAGTCGGATGCGTCTGCCATGCTGCAAAGGTCGGATGCAAAGACAAACTTTGACTTGCTGTAAGACGGTAAGGTTAGAGGACTAACAGTGAGAAGCTTGGAGAAAATTCTGCGATGATGAATTTCAAATACTGGATCGTTTGTCTGCGGAGCGTTCGTTATGCTTTCTCGACAACTGCCGAAAGGGAAAAATGCCCAACGGAAATTCTATAACTCCTCAACAAGAGGAATTCGCCCTAGCCTGCCAAAAATATTACATTCACGTGGGTAGTTACTTGTTTTATAGTTAGCTTTTAGTGCTGGCAATTCATGGCTTTGGCAAAGGAAGTGAGTTTCCTTGGAGTTCACTGAGTATTAAGTCATGTGGATAAGTGTCTACTCTGGCGTGCCTTTTCTCAGCGCTCTCCTCTCCCTAACCACTGAAACCGCATTATTAAGCTATGTGGATGGGTGCCTAACTCTCGCATGCCTTTAGTCAGTCAACTCGTGTCCCTTTCTCCTGAACCAGCAACAGCAAATGCGATGCTACTATTATCAACCAGTCCTTAGTGTTACTGCGACGTGCCTGGTGAAGCCTGGAGGTTCGCTGTGGGAGAATTTAGGCAGTGCTAACACGCGGGCTCGGGAACTGCCAGTACATTCTGGGTAGCAGTACGTGAGCTCTGCGCCTTTCAATCAGTTGTTCCCTTTTTATCGGCACTGCAGAGGGACTGCACGTCGCAGGACAAATGTGTCATGAATATTGTTTCCTTACTGCATACATCTCGCGTGGATATCTAGATGCAGCAGTGAAAGACGATATGCGCCAGATGACAACCCAGAGTTTCCTGTATTTTTTAGGTGGCGGCGTGTTTTCATGATGCATTTGACGAATCACCCTCCGTATATGACTTCTATGGAGGCGGTGGCAGGTTGTGTGTTCCCACGCAGGCTGAGGCATTGTCGAATTTCTAGAGTCCTAGGGAACGTCTTGCACGCATGTGTCGGGCATGATGTGGCACGGCTACTGTACAGCTCCCTCCACTACTTCGTTGTTGTGATTCTAGGCATAACCATGCAGAGCAGCAGACGACCCGGGGTTGCTCTAGTTCCTTTCTCATTTTGTCCGTGTCTCGTAGCACGCCGCACATCAAAGACGATCTTAAAGGGGCTGACCTGGCATTATATCCTTAATTTCTGTTTGAAAGCGCCTGCTAATTGAGTACGTAAGCTACCAACGGCATTGGAGCTCGAGCACGCGCATACTGAGGCCACTGCTCACTTCAAACAGGGCCAGTTTCCGTGTTGTTCTGTCTCCCTTCAAAAAACAGGAGGTAGGAAAGCAAATGCTTACAGCAAACCCCTTGTTACGGCGTGGTCTATTCTGCGTACTTGTTGTTAGGAGATATTGGTGCATATGCTACAACGCAAGAGAACTATAGGCGTTGGTGGGCTCCGACAAACGGTACGAGCTCGGGCTGTATAGGGGAGGAATTTGTTTACCAGTTTCGCTCTTAAGGCCTTTTAGTGATTTTTTTCATAAGTAATTTCTGCGGACAGGATTCCTCGAAAATTTAAGGGCTAAGCATTCTTTCGATCGCATTTGGAGCACCCAGTATACATGGAAAAAACTGCATTGCTATCTCTCTGTCTCTTGAAGGGCTGCTAATAACAATCTCTTGCCGACGCAGAAACGATCCAGGTTCAGTGTGGCTGAGGACCTCTACGTGCAGTGTCACATCGCATGCATGTTGAAATTTGGACTACGTGCTAGTTGCAGTTTGTTTTCAGCCATCTGCACGGTGCAGAAGCGGCTTCTGGGATACGCTAAAGAACAACAATTGTACTCGAAAACTTTGCTCCAAGTATGACAGAGAATGAGCAGCCGCCATTCTTTCAATGTGTCGATTCAGCGGTCATTTGCTACGGGCAATAAACGCAAGAGGACGTCGCTTCTTCAGGTCGAACCGGTGAGGGTGTTTGTGAGTCGCCACAAAGTGCTTTCGTTTGTTACACTCTTAGCTGGAGTGTATGACTGCTTTCTGAAATCATTCAGAGTTGCATATGCGGGCTCTGCGGCGCTGGGTCTGAGACGCCCCTGGCCGTGCTTACAGATGCCTTTGACCTGCTGTTGTCAGTGCTTATGCCCAGGGCGGATCTGGCATCGGCCTCGCGCCAAGAAGGCAAAATGAGAACCGCTGGTAATGACTCATCTTATGACGCGTATTGCAATGGCACAGAAGCTTCTAGCAACCGCAAGGCAAAAATCCTGGGGTTTTATGTAGCTGTCTATTCAAGCCCTGTATTTCTGCAGGGCGTATGATGCAGGGCAGATAATAGCTGAGTAGTGCGCGACAAGCCCCAAAAGACCCTGCATTTTCCGAAATCTCTATAAACCCCCCAACATTAGCAGAATTCTGACGGCAAAGTATTTCAATTTCGTGTGGCATCCGGAGGAATCACGTTCTGCTTGCCTGTGCAGGCAATAGTAAAGCAGCGCTTCCTCATTCAGGTCTTTTCTGGGAGCTTGCCCGGCTGAGACGTTGCGGAGTAATAGAATCATGACGCTTAGCCAGCCACGGCCTGCTGGACAACAGAAGGGCGAGCAGCTTGGTGGCCATTCTTCCCCCAAGAGTGGCCCAGTTTCCTAGTCGAACTGCCCGCTGTGAGGAGAAAATACATGCCAGATGCCAGAACAACGGCACACCTCTGCGTGTGTCTCATTGCCATTTGCAGAGTGAGCGTACCTTACGTTGTTCGGCACATGAGGCATACGCGCCGGGAGATATTCACGTTCCACTCTTGTCCTTGCCGTGTTTTGCTTACGTAGCATAAAACAAGTATAGGGAATCATTACGTGAACGACTTGACTAATTGTTCGCCTCACTTCAGAAAGACGCGCCGTAAGTTCATGCGCCAGTGAGTGAGTCACACTGCAAACACAGAGAGGCTTGGCCGCCCCTACGCCGCTTGCTTTCTAAATTTGTCTACTTTTCATCCTTAAGATTTCAGCTACAAAAATTGAGGATTTGACGAGTTTCGAGGAAGCCTCCCCCCTCGTTGAAAACGACTTTGCCTTATTCTACTGTTCCCACATCCTCCTTGAATTGACATTATTTCCTCAGCATATCAATGCCATCGCTGTATGTAGCAATCTTTCAAGTTTCAGCACACGGGCCTAGTAGCAGAAAGATGCCTAAATTTGCTGCAATCCTGGGGCACCCTTAATGGCCCCTTTAGCCAAGCTCAGTTATTAACTACACGCACACCGCCAAATGATGCTTCACACGAGAACTCGAGAATATGCAGTGTATGTCAAATCCACAAAAACCGTGCACTGCAGTTTACTTGCTGGGGAGAGCTACAGGACAACGCACTACGCAGCCAACGCAAATGCCGGCTTGCGATGAATAGGGATGCCTAAGGCTTATCAATAAAGCCCTCATATCTCTATTTCCGCACAACAGTAGACATTTTCTCATGCGTAAATCACCCGCATGGGGTCATGGAGTTCTCCAAGATGGTTGCACAGAGAAAGGAATCGTTATGCCGCACTGTCCTTGCAGATATCGGCGTGTGCGTGCGTCGTCGAGTGACTGCAGCTCAAAAGTAAAGCCGACAAAAAAGAATGTCAAAAAAAGCGACGGCGAGTATTTAGAAGCACGATGCCATCATTTTTAAGCCGATGCGAATGCCTTAAGTACTTCGTGCTGACACAGATGCGCTCTACCGCGGCGCCGATGGTGATCCAGTGTTCACGGAGCGCTTTGGTCTGTTGCACTCTCGGTCGCTGTACCTAACGCTTCAGGGGACGAGCGAATATCTCGCACTTTTCGCTATCTGATACATGTCAAAAAAGATTGGACTTCCGCATCACCCTCAAAAACTCTTCTTCATTTATTTCCCCATCCCCATCTCTGTCAGCTTCATCTATCATCTGTACAACGCAAAAACTACACGAACCACGTTTCTTCCCCCAACCTTTTGGTCTCAACTTTGTAGCGGCGGCTAGAAACACATCTACGGAGGCAAGTGAGCTCCCTTTACATGCACGCCTCTTCACGTACGCATAAGCGCCTGCTCGTTTTTCACACCTTTTCTTCTGCTGGCTAAGCGTGGATATGACTACAAGCCCTTTCCGCACGGCCCTCCCTTCATCTCACCTCTTGTATTTCTTCGTCAGTGATGCTTTCGCCGATCTCCTTTGCGACTCTCTTTAAATTCTGTACGCACGAAAAAATCGTCAATGCACTTCGTAAGTGCTAATTGGCAGCAAAATTAAACTCACCAGCCGCAAAAGTGCCATCAATGAAACTGCAGCAGCAGTCTGAACGGCAGGGATAAAAGCCAAAGCAAACCTTAAAAGTGATCTTCCCTGTCCCGTCGTCATCAAACAGACGGAAGGCCTTCAGCATTTCCTCCTTGGGGTCGCGCGCCAGCTGCAGCACAACGCGTGCAACTGCTGCAGATTCTACTGTGGGCTTCTAGGTCTAGCCGTATTTACTGTTACTGCTTTAGGACTCCTCGCCGCTGCCTCCAGGCACGCGCTTGTACGGCGCCACACGGTCCGTCAGAGCGCTAAGCAGCACTGTAGCGCCACTGAACGTAACAAGTATCCATTTCATAGAAATCAATCCCCCACATCAAGCAGATAGGAGTGGCACCCAGGAACTGCAGAATCCCAGCGCCTAGGACGGCAGAAAAAGCAGCGACTGCAACTGGACCGTCCATTCTGCTCACAATCTTCTCAGTCATTATGGAAAGGAAGTCACTGAATTCGATCGTCCCTGTTCCATCCGCATCCACGGAAGCGATGACTTTTCTTATCTGCGAAAACGTCGGGTCGTTCTTTAAGCCGCAACGACTCAGCAGGAGAACGTACCAAAGCAGCAGCTCAAGAATTGCATTCACCCGATGTCAGGCAAGCCCATGTTACTGCGCCTTTTTTTCCTTCATGTTGAGCGGCAGCATCTGTCTGTATACGTCATGCATATAGGTAAGTCCTGCCGCAACTAGACCAGATCTGTGAGAAAGCCACTGCAGCAAGCCCTACGAACTGCTTTTAGTTTGGGCGGCAGCAATGCGCCTCGCTGTTCAGTCAGAAAATACAGTGCGCCGCTGGTGGCATTCGATATTATGCAGGGGAGCCCGAATGTACGGCAGCTCAAGGACGTGGCTTTCTGTCACCTCTCTGTAGTGACGCTGGCATTGTCTACCACAAAATGACTCTCGGAGAAACGGCTTCAGCGCCAGCAGCCACTTCGGCAAAAGCTCACCTCTTCTCTCTTAGCCTCAAACCCAAGCGCTTTCATTGCGACCTTGAGCTCCTTAGCGTCTATGCATCCTGATCCGTCCGTGTCAAACAAATCAAAGGCCTCCCTTATTTCCCGTTTCTGCTCCTCCGTCAACTCCCGGCGGGGGGCTCCCGTTGTACCCCCGCGGGCTCCCCCTAAGCCTCGGCCAGCGCCAGATGGCTGCGCACGACGACTCAGCTGACACACACGCGCAAAACTCATCTCAAAGAGCCCCAGAATGTTGCAGCTGGCGGTGCTGCTGGGCGTCTCGATAGCAGCCAAGAAGATACTTAGCCTGACGTTTCCCCTTCATTGAACATGGGAGGTGAAAAAGAGGTTTAGAGGGCACGGACAACCGATAATGCACGTGGGAGTCGTCGATGCACCCAGGGTCACCTGATACAGTCCCCACTGCTGCGCCACTGCAGCCGCGGCAACACCAGCGACGGCGTAAAATGGAGTTTGCAAGAAGGGCTGCATGGTAAGGTAGCGAACGTTGCATTCCTCACCATTTCTGCTCACTATTACTACCACTCCACCCGTCCTCTCCAACGCCAGGAGCAGCAGTCGCAGGCAGTTGCTCACCGTCTGTCGTTGTTTCGCGCCGCAGAAAAGCCACGAATAATTGTCGAAGCTCACTAAGCACTATAAGCCGCGGCCGCAGTATTCAATGGCCCTAAGACCTTGGGAGGTGGAGGTGCAACGAAGGACAGCCGCAGCAGCGGCAGAGGCAGCAGCACCAGCGCCAGCTCCACGGGCCCCCTCCCATTGCTACACATGCGGGATAAAGTAAAAGACGCTCAACGAATGTCCTTAGTAATAAATGGAAGAGTGGTTATTTCAGGGCCAAGCAAATTTCTTGCCAGCTACAAAGCCGGCAGCATTTGCTGCTGCCGTCGCTGCTAATGCAACTTCTGGTGCTGCAGCAGCGGCTTCAACAATAGCGGCAGCAGCAGCGTTGTCGAAAGTGCGCTAACAGGAGCAACTACGCATCAATATCATCTGTCTTCGGTTGCTAGACCATTTAATATAACTTCTGAATCTTACGCTGCATGCAGCTGCGGGAGCAAAAGCAACAACAGCACGCAATCTGCCTACAGGGGGGGCCTCAATTTTTGCACAACTGGAACGGCAGCCGCTGTAGCTGTGCCTGCCAATTCCGGATGAGTTCATGCATCAGCAGCAACATTTCTTCATGCTCCACTTGCTGCCGTTGCTGTTACCTTCGCTCAGACTTTTTCGGGCTGCTACCGGTGCGGCCGCTCAACAATGATCGCTGGGGCGCCTTAGTTGTCAACGCTGCAGCAACTGCGGCAACGGCCTCACGCATGCGGGGGCATTCGCCATATTAAGGCCATTGGCAGCCTTAGACAAGAGCTTACGGCGGCTTCGACGTCGGGAAGTTTGCTTTCTGGGCTGATGCAGCAGCCATAGCTGCGAACAGCGTAACAACAGAAGCAGCAACGCTGGCAGCGATGCAGAAACTCCCACGTGTAGTTATCGTTGCACGAGGATTCTTGACTTTTTCTCGGCGTTTTCCCGCTACACACAGCAGCATCAGAAGCAGCGGCGTTGGCAGCAGCAGTAGCCATTCAACAAGGAAGAACTAACGGCAGCACTTTCAGTGGGGCTGCATCGGGTGAAAAAAAAGCGGCAGCAACAAAGAGAAAACAAACGGAGCAGACGTCGCAGGGTCAATAGTGATAAGCCAAGCTGCAACAGGAAAGCATAGAGCAGCAGCTATTACACGCTGGGCAAACAACAGCAGCAAGCAGCGGGAGTGTCGTCGTGGCACTGGGGACAAGCGACGGAATCTGTATCGCTCTGTTTGTCGAAGTTAAAGTAACATCTCAGCAGTGTTGCAGTGCAGTAAGCAGCTGAAGCAGGACCAGTAACAGCAGCAGCGGCAGCAGCAGCTACATGTTGCTCCCGTGCGACCAAGATGTCTCCTTCCCCCCCCATATCTATCTTTGGGGGAGTTGAGACGGAAGAGGTCGGGTGCGCGTATTACGGGGATGCGGATTGCCCTTCTCTGGCCGCCTATCTGTTCCAGCTGCTGCAATGGTGGCTGCAACTACTACTACAGAGCAGCAGCTATGTAGCAGGGTCGTTGTCTTCATCACTGTCTCGCATGCCGTCTCAGTTGCTGCAGGTATGTGTCTCGTTAGGTGGTGCTGTGCTTCTTGTGCTTTTCGTATCTCTTATTTATTGGCGCTGCAGGGTAAGCAGGTACAATACCCCGGGTACTCTACGAGGTCCCCAGGGCCCCCCTCTTCGGCACCCGGTGCATGCTTGGGAGGCGTTTGCTTCGGCATCGAGCCCCAAGTACTGCTGCATGTGCAGGGAACTTATTTCGGGTTTTCTTATTTACAGAAATAAGGGATGGGAGTGTTGCATTTGTCGTCGTGCTTGCCATGCCACGTGCCTTGCTGCTTGCGACTCATTGCCCTGCAAAACGCCTGCAGCCCCAGCAGCAGCAGCGGCTGCTGCAGCAGCGGCAGTACATGGAGCGGCAGCGCCACCTGTCTTGAAGCACAGGCTGGTTGAAGGCGCTCTTGCTGCGGATGCAGTCTGTTGTGGCTGTGGCCTTGCATGCAGCAGCACTTTCGGGCTCGACGGGCTGCGATGTTTGTGGTGCGCTCGCACCGTCCACAGCGAGTGTCTGTATCTTCTGCCAACTGCATGCGACTTGGGTCCGTTGCGCCTGCTGATGCTTCCTCCTGCTGCTGTGACACCGCTTCTGTCGGCTGCTGCAAGCCCCCATGTGCTACTGCGCCTTGCTGCAGCGCTGAGAGATGGGGGTGGAGTTTCTGCAGCTATTCGAGGTCTCCGCAGTATGGCCATGTTGCTGCAGCAGAGCGTATCTCGGCAGATGAAGCGCATAAATGCTTCACTCATGGGCTCTCTGCGTCACGCACGCAGCGGCACGCAGCAACAACAACCGCAGCAGCAGCCGCAGCAGGGTGAGAAGCCAGCAAAAGATGACAGCGTTACAGCAGCAACAGAAGGATTAAGAGCTGTTGCTGATAATGCCCGCAGCAACGGGGACACAATCCTAGCAGCGCCTGCCACAGCACCATTGGCGGAGCGTGCAGTGTCTGGGACGCCTCAGAGTAGAGACAGCGGCAGCAGCAGCACAGCTGGTGCTCATGGCATGGATTTAGGGGAGTCAGAAAACGCGGGAACTCCGCGTCGGCAGCAGTTCTTCTTGCAGCAGCACCAGTCACTGGAGCGACAGAGACCTCAAGACATCCTGAGGGCTTTGGGCCGACACTTGGAAGGCTTTAAAGTCCTTGCGGGTGGGGTAGAGAGTAGTGGCAGCAGCACTAGCTTCAGTGGCTGCAGCGATGGAGAGAGCAGCAGCAGCGGGTACAGCAGGAGCTCTAGCAGGATGTCGCGTACCTCCTGCAGCCAAAGCAGCAGCCACAGCAGCGCACAGGGCATTGCGCAGCAGCAGGAGTTGCGACACGACAACAAATTGCGCCACCGTCAGCCTCGAGGCCGAAAGGAGCGGTCGCATATAGCTGAGACGCTGCCTGACTCAAACGGAGCTGCAAGAGCGGAGATCGCAGCTTCTGCTGCTGCTGCTTCAAAGCACGTGAGTAGTAGCAGCAGCAACGGGAAGAAGGAACGCGCTGCTCAGCTACAGCAGGCGCTGGCAGAGATTTTGCCTCCCAAGGCTCCTGTGTGGCGCCTTCGGGCTCAGCCGCTGCGGCACCTGCATGCAGCTGACGCAACACCAGTGTTGGTGTTTGTGAACTGCAAGAGTGGAGGACAAGTGGGGCGAACCCTTTACAAGGAGCTTTTGTATAGATTAAACCCTTTGCAGGTTAGCGAGAGGCGCTTATGGGCCTAGCCAATTTGCAGTATCCCAGCCGCTACCATCTCTAGTGTGCTGCTGCAACATACTGCTGTAGCAAGCTGTTGCCGCTGCGAAGACGTACCTGTCCATCAGTGTTCGCGTTCTTGTGTAGATGTGTAGACACTGTTGCCGATGTTGCAACCATCGTCGTCCTTCATTTCTAGGCGTGTCAGCGCTGTTTCAGGTAGTTGACATACAAGCCGAGGATGGCCCAGAGAGGGCTTTGCACCTTTTCAAGCCTTTAGCGCTGAGGCGAAGACTACGCGTGGTTGTCTGTGGAGGAGACGGCACTGTGGGTTGGGTCATTGACGCAATACAGAAGGTTTACAGAGCCCGTGAGAATCACCAGCAGCATCAGTTGCAGCAGCAGAAAGTTGGGCAGCACCAGAAGGAAGGTCGAGAAACAAGTACACCGAAAGTGCAAGATCTCGACGAGGAGGAGCAGCAACAACAGCAGCATAAACAGCAAGCACGATATGAGCCCGAACGCCAGGAGCAGACGCAGCTTCATGAGGAGCAGGTTAGCCATGCTCCAACGGTACCAACGCATTGTCCAGTAATGAGACATCCAGATCATCCACAGTGCAGGCTGTGCCAGGAAGCATCTGAGGTTAATAATCAGCAGGACAGAAGGCAACAGCATCAGGAACAGCCGAAGCAGCTCTCGCTGCAGGAGCAGCAGAAGATGAAGCAGCCGTCGGCCTTTGTTCCTGTCGCCATTTGCCCGTTGGGCACCGGCAACGATCTCAGTAACGTCTTGGGATGGGGAATGTCTTTCGACGGAGACATCGTCGAGGTATCAGTGCTATTTCTAATGCTGCTTTCGACGACAGTTTTCCTGATGTTGCTGCTGCTAAGATGCAGTTACTTGTATCTGCTTTTCTTGCTGCGCAGCACCTTCTCAAGATTCGCCGGGCCGTTCCTTCAGCTCTCGACATTTGGAATGTTGAGGGTCGGTACTTTTGCTGGCTGGCCGGTGCAGCTGCTTTTAGTAGTGTTTCATTTCATCTGGGGATTTTGAGGTGGCGTCTGCTTTAGGTGCTGAGATTTTTGACGCACGGAGAGTATTCAAATGACTTGCTCACAGTGCTGCCTCCGCTACTTCTGCTGCTGCAGTGTCAGGCAGCAGCGGGCCGATCCTCAGTAGTACGTTTTCCAACTACCTTGACGTTGGTGTTGCTGCACGCATTGCACTGAAGTTTCATAGACTGCGAGAGGGAAATCCGGAACTTTTCCAGTCAAGGGTAAGCGTCTTCCTCTGCTGTTGCTGCGTTTACTGCTACTGCTGCGTTCAATGCTGCTGTCCTGCAGATTTTATAAGTGGCGTGTCAGCTGTTAGTGCGCGTGCAAAGTTGTCGTTGAGTCACTACTGCTGCATGTGTTCTATGCTGTTGCTATTGCTGCAGCTGGGCAACAAGTTCTTGTATGGAGAAGTTGGGTTTAGAGACTTCTTAGGGCCCCGTGCTGCAGCCCTGGAAGTCAGGGGTCTCTACTGCGACGGTAAAGAAGTACCACTGCCGCCACAAGGCGTTGAGGGGATTTGCATAGTCAACATACCGAGTTTTGCTGGTCGGTTCTGCACTGGTGCTGCTTCCTCTGTCTCTTTTACCCCGCAATTCTGCTGTTGTTGTACTTAACGCTAGCGAGGGCAGGTGGGTTTCTGTCGGCGCAGGGGCCGACGCAACTGTACAACAGGTAAACGTCAGTATGAGGCACAAACGAGGGAAAGAACAGCAATGATAGCAGGTAATGCTTGGTGCATGTCTCTTATGTATTATGCAGGCGGGGTAATGCTGTGGGGAGATGCAGAACCACAGCAGCAGCGACAGTTGCAGCATCACGAGCAGTTCGTGTTGCCACAGTCCCATCAAGTTCAGCAGAAGTACTACAGGCGGGCCCGCCTCGCGACTTTAGGCCACGGCGTTTCGACAGATTCGTCCTCTTCTGATCTTGGCATCCGACGTCGCCATTCACAGTCGCACAAACGGCACCGCACCACGGATGCTGCTGATAGTGCTGTGCAGTCCCATGCTGTTGGACCGGAAGGCGCCACGGCAGTCTCCGCTCCTCCAAGTCCGGGACAGAGGCTTGCATCTCCAGCACTCGCAACTACTACGGTTGGAGCTGTAGCGCCAAAGCCGGCGTTGCATCGCACAAAGAAGCATACGTATATGGTGCTGGCTGCAGACACAGCGACAGTTGCAGCGACTGATAACTGCGGAGCACTTAGGAGCGACTGCAGTAACAGCGTTGAATGCGGATATGAGGAGGAGCCGGACGAATTTGCCACGCGGCCAAACCAGCATCGGAAGGGCCCGGAACAAAAGAGGCAGCAGCATCAGCAACAGCAGCATCAACAGAAGCAGCAGCACCAGGGCCGGAGCCGCCGGCCTCGAGCATACCCAGCGTCTCCTCACACGCATACCGCACCAGTCGGCAGAGGAAACAGTTTGGGGTTCAGGGACCAGCAGTACATGAGTGCGCCGCACTTAGGGGCCTTGACTGCCTCTGTGCATCGCCGCCATCAGTTGCAGCAACAGCGTTTTGATCATTGGAGGCCTCAAAAGATCGACGACGGACTCATAGAAGTTGTCGCTTTCAAAAGCCTTTTCCATCTCGGGCAGGTTCAGGTATGCTGGTTCTAGTGTTCTCTGGCGCACTGTAATTCGTAAAGCGCTCGAAGCAGCTAATCCTGTTGCAACTGCCTGTACACTGGTTAGTGTCCCAGAAGTTCAGCCGCCAGTTGTATCATTTGTTGGTTGGTATTTTGCTCCTGCTGTTGCAGGTTGGCCTGGCTAAAGCCTTGCGTTTGTGTCAAGGACGCAGCGTGTGTTTGCACGTTAGCGGATCTCTTCCTCTGCAAGTTGATGGGGAGCCACAGTTACTTGAGGGCAGCTGCCGCATAGCAATAACTCACAAGTAAGACGTCTTACTGGGGACCGATTTTCGTGTGGCTTTTGGCTGTTGTTATTCGGGGCTTCTTTTGTGCTTACACTTGGTTCATCATGAAAGGCTCGGACCGCATCATTCGATGCTCTTGTGTACATTAGGAGAGATTTTTGACCGCATCATTTGATGTTCTTGTGCACATTAGGAGAAAGGTTTTTGAAGTTGTCCATGGTGCAAAGTGTGGTGTGAAGCATGCAAAAATAGGGGCCTCTTCAAAAAGTGTGAAGTCAAACAGAATAAATTCGGTTGTGTATATTGCAGTCTTGTTGAAGCATGTGCATGGCCACGTCCACCACTAGGACGTTTCATAAGAAACCAATTAATGAAATTCTCAGCCTGCACGCTAGCCTTGCGTGATTGCGTAATTTTGTCTTGAATGTATTTTTGTATCGCAGCTGTGTACAAGTGCATGTACAAGTGCGTGCACATGTATCTGCATCCGTGCATATCCGTAAACGCATGCCAGAGACAATTTGGGTGTTTTTGCACAGCCTACGGCATTACAGAGCCTGCAGCATTACAAGGTTTCGTAGGAAATTCAGGGCAGCTTGGAACGTTTTGCTCAAGAGTGGCACTGTGCCTTAAGACGTCTGACTAGCTGTTGTTCATGTATATTCGTTTCAGCTGCCAAGCTCCGGTTCTGGTGGCTTCGGAAAAATCTCCTCGGATGCAGACTCTCTCAGTAGTTCAAGAGGTGATTTCCCATTATTTTTACGCGGGTTCTTGGGTGAAGATTATCTCTAACTGCATCATAATAATCGCATTAAGAAGCCATCGGAATGTCTGTTCGCCAGTGGCGTGCTGCTTGCTCCTAGGTGCTGCATTTCGTATTTGCAAAATGGGTTTCGCTCCCGTATAGGATGCGTCGCTGTTTTTCTCGTGAAGCCTCGCAATCGCATTACCTTATGTATCTCCACAATAGGTTGACTGTGGATGCACTCTACCGAGAGAAATAGGTCTACTCTGGATCCACAATAGGTTGACTGTGGATGCACTCTACCGAGAGAAATAGGTCTACTCTGGAGACAACTGCGGTGTACTCAGGGATGCATATACGTCCTTGAAGACACCTCAGTTGGAGTCTTGTTAAAGTCTGCGCGATTCGAATTACGCCTTCAAACTGCACAGACTGCAACATGTGGGCTTGCATTGTTTTCATGGTTTCTCGTTTTTTCGTGACATGTGGCGCGTATGTGCAGGTGCTAAACCGGGCGCGGGACCGGCGCGTTATCAGCAAAATGCAATGCGCGCAGCTTATGAGCGATTTTCAGAGGACGTTGGGATAGAGCGATCGGCCGAACAAGTAATGGGCACACGTGTAGCCCGATGGTTTTTTGTTACTTTCGCACCGCATTTATGCAGGGGCGGCTACATAGGTTTTCGTGCAGCTTTTTGCATGCTTTTTTTTAAGAAAACTGAGCCGGAAGGAATTACTCGTGGACATTTCAAGCAATTTTGCAAAGCCGTGAGCACTAGAGATGCAGGAATAAAACAAAAGTACACTAAGATACCCAAGATGTCGACACTTCCGTTGTGGACGTAGAAGAGATTACCATGGCTGCAGTTTCTTAATCTGAGGCTGTTGCTGCACATAGCTGGTAGGGTTCTGGGTTGATATGTTTTTGGGGCTCCCAAGGGGAACGAAGGCACGCCAGTAGATTATCACAGCTGCACGTCTACGCTGTAAGGTTCTACAACCATTAACAGTGCTTCGTTGGGCGGGCACCCTGCGTAGCCTCAACTGCCCTGCTGCGGCGCAGTGGAAAGTTTGGGGCTTAGCCTTAGTGGGAGGCAGTCTCTCTCAGTCGCTTGGGCCGAAAGGCGTAGACAGTACGAAAGACACCAAGTTCTTCATAGCGATGCCAATCCCATGAGAGAGGCCCCAGAGACGCTTCCGGGGTTGGGGCCCGCAGATGCGTAGTGAAGCATAAAGCTCAACGGGGCATAAAGCTTCAATGGCATCCCCTCGTCCCAGTTTTCCGGCCATACGGCCAGAGAACCTCCCAGAAGCCTACAGGGTCGCCAAGATCTCACACTGACCCGTTGAACGGGCCGCGGAAGCGCTGGGGGCTGAACAATCTCAAGGGCTTCCCAGAAGTTGCGGGTCCCTCTGAGCTACGGTGGTGACGAACACACTGCTCTGAGCTCCCAGCGGCAATGGAGTCAACAATATGGAGAAGAAACTTCGTCAGGGTCAGCAAAGATGCGTAATTAGCATCCAAATGCGAACACCTCATGTACGTGGTTTCCCACCGTATCTCCCTACTGACGCCCTGCAGCTGCTACTACTTCGGTGGCTGAGGGAGGAAATATGCTAATAACAACAGGGTACTCCTACTCCTGAGGAGCTGCGCATACGGAAGGAGACGAGATCGACTTAGTCTTGCGAGTCTTCCTCTTTGTTACTGGCAACTTCAGAGGCGCCTCTGTCTTCGGGGGAGGCTGGGGCCTCTCCGCTGCCGTGGTTGGCGTCTGTGTGGCTCTCCGGATCCCCAACTGAGCTGAAGGTGTAGTCTGCCTCCTGAATGTGTTTGATTTTCGTCTGGTGACGGGAAACGAAGCAAGGCAGCAGGAAGCCAGCACAGAAAGCACTACCATGAGTCAACAATATCTTGGTGGCCAGTCTGATTTTCTACACACGACTACTGAGCACAGAGACGACGTACTGGAATGTCACAAGCGCAAGTGTAATAAACTAAGACACGGCCACGAGCTCACACCGACAGCCACGAGCCCAAAACAGGGAGATGACACACAAAAAGGAGAAAATGAAGGTCCTCACCTCTATCCAAACTTTAGTTTGTTGCTGCAGACGCCGCGTGTGAGAATCCCACTCTGCTGGACGCCAGAATAGCGTAGGTTGAGCCCTGTAAAAAGCAGTCAATACGGCTCCGACATAATTCACATACTGTCTCTTCAGCCGTTCCCACAGTCGATTTGTTGTTTGGGATGTGCAGACAACTGGAAGCTTGGGCGCTGCATGGTGCCTACTCTGTCCCAACGAAGTGCTCCATGTTGGAGTAGTGTTGTACCAAATGGAGACGCTGCAAACAAACAACGTTGCAGCAGCACCCAACGGGGAGACAATGTAATGCTAGCCTGTATAAGACGCGCGAAGAACTAAATGAAATTGTTTCGTTACTACAACTGTGGCTGAAGCCTTGATCGTCGGAACCAAAATAAACCTTCACTACTATGTGGGCCCGTGTCAAGGCACCCCACAGATATGTTACTGTGAAAAGATTACAATGCTGCCAAACAATACGGATCGCTTGCCTCTACACTCCCCTTCCAAAATAGTGTTGTACGCGTGCGTGCGTGCCCCAGTGTCGTTCTGCAATGGCTTTACGGCTTTAGGTTGTTGGCGTATAACCTTACCATAAGATCGTTTTCCTTTTGAATCAGTTCACTTGAGACCTTGGCCAACTGGCTCTCGTCCTCCTTGCGCTGCTCCTGCCACTGGATGCGCGCAATTTCTGCTATATGTTTCCGGGCCAACTCCAACTTCGAGTTAACACGCTCTTCCTGCAGCTTGTGGCGCTGGGCCTGCAGAGAAACAAACTCCTATCTACGTCAGCGCTAAATAATCCTCGCATACGGACGGTAGGGTCGCCTGAGCACGAGTTAGCCGCAACTTGCAGGAACCCACGCAGCGACACTCTGATCAACGTTCGCAAGTGCCAGCAAGAAATGGACCTGGCAGCAACATAATTGACGGGGCTCACAAAATCTGTATCCCTCTCTTTCGCAAGCTGTTGCTTGGCTTTGTTCAAATGAGATGACAGAAACCCGAAAATACGTTTGTTGCGCTTCTCCGAACTAGGATCAAGTTCCACCTTGGGCTGCACAGTCACATCCTATACTGTTTATCCTGTTGAGTAATCCAGGACAGTAGGAGTCCCGGAAGTGCCATAATTGAAGGAGCACGCCTACGCCTAAGAAGTAAAGTCACAAAATCGAGACCTACCCGCTTTGCAATCTGAAACTCAGGGCCTGCAAAATCATAGTTTGGCGCTCCGCCAGCCTGAAAAGGAGACTCGCACACCTAGTAAATTCCCACTACACACCGTAGGTAACACATTCCAGCGGCACCAAGCAAGGTAGATGCCCTTAACAGGCGAACGTGAGTAAGCAGCAGGCGTTAGATTTGGTAAACAACAAGTCTGCCACTAGTCAAACGGCGTTGGTCGCTACCCTTGGACTCACCTGCGGTCGTTTCTGGGAGGCTGCTCCTGTGGGGTCGCCCGACGCGGTACTCTGTGAATTTTCCTTCGCTGCGGTCCCCGGAACAGGGCGGGGAGCCAATGCGCCAGGGCCCCCGGGAGGTTTGCGTTGAAGCCGTTGATTAAGGAGCTTTTGTTCCTCTACGAGGCGCTTGATTTCTCTGCGTAAGACTGCATCCGCCATTTTGATGGTACGACAAAACCTGATAAAGGCTGCGGTATCTATAGCTCATGCATTAGTTTTGGGGTCACCGCTGTGCACGTTTCCTATGCAATTAGGGCCCCTTTCCTGCCAGATCAATCAGTGGAGGATGCTGGGGCCCCTCGTTTCTTGGATCCAACTCAGAGACATTGCATGCAGAGCTCTCTGTGCACTTAAGTGACTACTCTTGATTCTTAAACAAAATAAACGGAAGACTAGGAATGCGTACACACCGGGCTCGTCGCAGTGGTACGGGCGCGAGGTATAGGTCAAGGAGAAGACGCTCCATGCGCCTCCCTTTCCCTTTTTCTCTTGTACTTGTCACTTTTGAATTCAAACAAGAAACGATTGTCCTGTTGTCACCCAACGCCGCTGCGGCGGCTTCCGTGCATGCAAGCCAACCCAGAATCTCGTGTAGGGCTGACAGCTGAGCCTGGCACTACACGCGGCGATGAATGTGAAGGTAAAGAACGGCTTATGGTACTAACAATCTACGCGTAGAGTACGTGGTCTCAACAGAACGCGTTATAGTGGGACCTGTTGCGAGCTTCAGCGAGGCGTGAGTTGCTGTGATGGAATGTTCAGTGTTGCTCTTTTGCGGTTCATCAAAGCTATGCCATTCAAGCGCACACTATGGGCGAATATGTTTTCCAATGTGTGTAGCCAATGATACCAGTTATAGAAACGCAAGGTTGCCTCACACAATGCATTACTTTCGTTGCCGGAGGTAACGAAAAGGCCTACCCCACTCTACGCTCCTAGCCCTGGCGTAACTGTACGCGAGAAGCGAACGCATTGATGTAACGTTTTGCTTAGCTTCAGCAGTAAACCAATACATTTTTTCCTGTGCGAAAGTTTTAGTTGTTAGTACTGTTTGTGAGCATTTCCTGCTGGGGGCACGCCTCTAGGGACCAGGCAAACGCGCTTCTCCAGGAGCTCGAATTACTGGATGCGACTGGCTGAAGTGCGAGCAGTAAGCTATGTACAGGATACCCGCAAATGCATGAACATTTTCCCTTTACGTTTAGGGCAACTTTTGGTGCATGGAGCCTCGCAGAATTCTTAACTTAGCTGCGGCGGTGTGGCCACCCTCCAACCCTTGGGTGAAGCATGGGTGCACCGCACCTTCGCTTCCTCGGCAAGGCAAGCAGGCCACGAAAAGTCCCTATCTCTAGAAAGCGGGTAAATACACGGGCAGGGCCTCCCAGAAAAGAGGACAGTTGAGGAAGTGGTGGCAGCACTACCTCTGCAAAAAACGAATGGCATTATTGAACGGGTATCATATCCATGGCTACACACCAAAGGCTGTAGCGTGCACTCACCTGCCTGGACAAAAGGTGCTCAGTCAGCTGTGTTGCAAGCATTCAGTCTCAAGGATCCAGAAGCGAAGGGTACGTGTTACAGAGATGACCTGATCATTAGCTAGTGTTCGCCAGCTTTCACAAGGACGGGAGAAGGCCTACTTCTACTGCCTCTAATTCACAGCTGTTATCTGAGATTTTGGTTTTAAGAGACCTAAAAGTGCTATTTTTCAACTCAGGACGCCCTCCGCTGATGCTGAGGTAGATTCTGCGCTATATCGATACATGCACTAGATCACTGAAACCCCACTGGCGAACAACACATAGCTAAGCGTTGTATGAAGAAGACTCGTATCGAGGCTTCTAGATGATGAGGCCTCCAGCAACGAGAATTACCACATTGCAGTCACGTAATGAACGGGAACTAAAAGCTCAGGCGTTTCAGCCTCTTATCGCCACAAAAATGTGAATGAACAGCGTGCGACTGGATCGAATCAAGCGGCTATCGCGGTTAATAAACTTAATAACAAAGTGCTCGTCTGAACACAAGTAGTGGGACAAAGGAATAGTATGTTACGTGCGCACGACACCACAGGCACAGTTTGATGCTTCCTGGCTTGGCCCGAAGCTCTTGAATGTGTTAGGAACTAAGCCAGTAAGGCTGAAACAAAACCTAGTGCCTAGGCGTTCTAAAACGAGCGACTCCCAAACACTTGCTTACTCTAGAGAAGGACGCATAGCTGAGCCAAATGCAACACCTGTAGAACAGGCAATTCAGCTATGGCTCGATGAAGCCAATTCCCTTTACACGAACTTATTGAAAGAATCATCAGCTGTAGGCGTCACAAGAGCTGCGCATGGTGGCAGTGTGAGGCAAGTAGTCAATGAGAGCTCTAACTTGAAAGTGCAGTGTTCCCTAAGGCACTAGGCCACTACAGTATTCCTTCCAACAGGCATTCGACATGCACGCGTACGAATATGGCGGCCTCCTCCGCTGACATACCCGCCACTTGCTTGGCCAATATCTCATATGCTTGCTGTGCCGGAGATCTTGGGTGAACTACGGTGGGACTGCCACCCGGCAGCTTTGCTTCACCAGTCCCTACGAATGGTGACTCGCACCACTTGTAGTGCACGGGCACTACAATAGGGCTTGCTGGTGACCTATAGAAGATAGCTAGCTGGCGACTTACAAGAGGTCACAACACTGAACGAGGAGAGGACCCTCTTACTAGGATCGAAGTAAGCCAATTTGTCGGCGAATTAGCATACATACACTAGAAGTGTCTGTAAATACCTGGAGATTGGGGCTGGCGATAGCGCCGGCACCGGTGCATGCCTCCTCCCCACAGAGCCTAGGAGGCGAGAACCCCGAGTGGGGGGGATTTTCAAGAGAACATAATTTGAAAAACTATAAATAACTGCATTTCGTGATATCTGGGACAGTCCCTTCGTCACGTGGGACCAATTCCATTCCGCTATGAGTGTGATAAGAACTGTTATAGGAGAGACAGTGGAATCCGGCGCAACGATTACCATACTACCAGAAGACGGCAGCACTCTGCAGGCCTTTTTGCTGCGCATCGAGCGCCGGTACACCCAGATGGCACTGGAGCCGCGCGAGTGGAGAAGCGCACTTATTAACCATTTTGTGGTCCCGGCACTAACGTATTGGGTATTGGATGTATCTTCGGAGAACTATCGACCTAAGCGACTGGGCGACGGTGCAGCGCAGGCTTTTGGAGCGGTTCGACAAAACAATGTCGCAGAGTCAATTGTCAACGGAGTTGGCAAAAGTACGGTGGAATGGTAACCTGAAGGAAAACACAGACCGGTTTGCGGCTGTAGCGGAGCGTGGTTCGGATCTTGCCCCCAACAAACTCGCTGACTATTACTGCACAGGGCTACCGACAGACCTCCATCTTCTAATAACCAATAACGGGCAGGTGAAGTATCCCTCTTGGGAACAAGCGGCGACCGCAGCAACACGGCTCTACGAGCCCAAGCACAGTGTGCTGGAACTCCGAGCAAGGACCAGTCGAGCCATTAGGGCTGCTATCCAAGCTAATGGACCCCGTGGGCGCCAGGAAATTGAAAATCACCCTGGGGGAACCCACACGAACTGCTTTGAGTGTCAGGGTCGCGGACATCCGGCACGTGTCTGCCCCAGAAAGGGAGAACGCACCAAACTTCCGGCAGAAATATGCAAGAAGTGTGGTGGTGTGGGTCGCTATGCTTGGGACTGTCCTACGTACGAACGAGGCCGGACGGAGCCGGAGGACAAGAGGATTAGGGGGTCCATCCGTCCTAGGGCTGAGAAAACGGAACAATTAAACAGGGGGGCCTAGCCATGGTTGGAGACGTGCGTTCTAGGCCGCGTAGCCATGGCAAAGGGATGATGTGTAGGGTAGCGACAGGCCCTCATGCCATCAACAGTCTCCCTTGAGTGGGAAAACCAACTCCTCAACACTGCGAAAGGAACTAATACGAGCGATGGTCACGCGGAAGGGACTCAGCCGCTTTCGGAAACGCGGCGGTAGTCTGGGTCAGCGTCGATCCCGAGTGAAGAGATTCCGGACGCGACGACGGATAGCAGCAGGAAGTCTGCGGAGGCAACAGAAGACGGCTATAGGTCAGGCGCTACAGAGATTGTGCCACACTGGTGGAGGGAGACTTGAAAGAGTCTTACGACCAAGGGGGAGCATTGTGTTGTGTGGGTGCGACGGCGGTACTTCGCGTTGAGCTTGCAGGGAGTCCTTGTGAGGCCCTCTTGGACACTGGGGCTGTGAGAAGTTTCATTAGTCCTAAAACAGTCGAACGACTGCCGCTGAAAGTGCGGAGATTTCCAAAAGAACAAGGGTTCACCGTAGCTACAGGTGCACAACTACGCATTGATCGGGTTGTGACGGGATTGACGCTGTAGTGCGAACATGCACGCTTTTCCGGGGACTTTTTAGTGGGACCCGTTCCCTATGACTTGGTCTTGGGTTTGGATTGGCTGGCGGAACAAAAGGTGGCCTGGTATTTTCAGTCCGGCAAACTCCGAACCTATGTGAACGGCCAGTGGTGCAAGTTTCCGGTCGTTCGGACTGGTAAAGCAGCCCTGCAAGGTGACAGTTCCACTGTCGTCCACCCAAGCACCCCAGCAGAGCAAGCATATGAGATATTGGCCAAACAAGTGGCGGGTATGTCAGCCGAGGAGGCAGCTATATCCCTCCCCCCGCCTCCAAGGAGATATAAGTCCCACGCGAAGACTAAAGCGAAGGCGCGGATAACGTCGCTCGTTCGTCATGCGGCGGCTGACACAAAGGGTCTCAGGGCTCCATTGCACGGTTTGCATCTCATACTGGCTTTGCCCGAAGCCGGTTCGGCAGTGCCCCTAAGGCTCTCGGATGAATGGCAAGGCGCGCTTTGTTGCGCGTTAATTGGGAATCAACCCACGTCCTCCGGCTGTCGCAGTCCTTTGGCCTCAGCCGCCTAGGTAGCAGCGGAGAGTGACGAGGAGTCTCCCTGGCTTGTGGCAAAACTAGAGCACACTCTGTTCGACGAATGGATAACTTCGCCAGTGGCGCAGGATATTCCATGTGAGATTGCCCAGGTGTTGCACGAGTATCGAGCGGTTTTTCCCGATGCCTTACCTAAGGGATTACCGCCGAAGCGCCCTCTTGATCACCATATTCTACTTGTGCCTGGAAAATTTCCAGCGAAATCTGCAATATACCGTATGACCCCAGATCAGCTCACATTCCACAAACAGGAGATCGCTAAAGTATCGGACAGTGGTTGGATAGGACCGACCTATTCGCCTATTTGCTCTCCTACGATCATGGTGGACAAACGTGATGATGGTTCCGGGGAGCGGAAGATGCGTATGGTTGTCAATTACCAGGCTCTAAATGCCCCTACGATAGCCCCTGAATTTCCACTACCTCCCATTCAAACCATTTTGGAGCTGCTCGGAGGAGCCAAGTATTTTTCCACCTTGGATCTTGAAGCAGGATTCCATCAAATACGTATGGCTAAGGAAGACCAGTGGAAGACGGCTTTCCGGTCCGTTCTCGGACTATTCGAGTACCGAGTGATGCCCTTCGGCCTTAAGGGTGCTCCCGCTACGTTCCAGGCCAATATTAATGCCTACCTACAACCTTTATTGGGAAAGGGCGTTATTGCGTACCTAGATGATGTACTTATCTATAGTTCCGATCTCTCTGGGCACGTTTCGCTCCTGCGACAAGTCCTAAGCATTTTTCTTAGACATCAGTTCTACCCAAAATTCCGCAAATGCAAGTTTGCAAGGCAAACAATTCCATATTTGGGTTATACCATTTCTGCTACGGGGATCAAACCCGCAGAAGATAAAATCGCAGCCATCCGGCATTGGCCAGTGGTGCTGGAAAACGAAACGTAAGTGCGCCAGTTCCTCGGTACCATCAATTACTGTCGCATGTTCATGGGACCGGGCTATGCGGACGTTGCCCGGCCGCTGGTTGATCTAACGCGTAAAGACGTCAGTTTCGAATGGACAGAGCTTCACACGCAAGCGGTGCGGCAGCTCAAACAGCCCTTAATCGATTTCACTGCATTGCAAGTCCCTGAAACCACGAAACCCTTCGAGTTATACACAGATGCCTCTGGTTATGCGATCGGAGCAGTTCTCGAACAAGACGGCAAACCATCGGCTTCCTCAGCCAAGTCATGAACCCCACGCAACAGAGATACTCGATCTACGATCAGGAACTCTTAGCGTTGGTCATGGCACTGGGCAAGTGGTCGCACTTGCTCCGTGTCTCCAAGGTAACGGCTTACACTGATCATCAAGCTCTAACCCATCTCCAACGACTCCAAGCATCGAAGCCTCTGCGCCGACGCACTGCCCGCTGGTTAGACTTTCTTGCGGAGTTCCCGGATTTGCACATCACGTATGTTCAAGGCGCGCGCAATCAAGTTGCCGACGCCTTGTCTCGCCGTCCCGGTCTTCCTAACACCTGCTCGCACGACACACCATCGGTACCACTGATGCTCGCAATAGGACAAGCGACCGCGGCTCCCCGCTCTCGTGGTCGGCCTGCCAACTACAAGGAGCTCGCCGGAATTCGTTCGCGATGACCTAGAGGGCGCTGCATGCCGTCCGCGCCTTCACTTGCTCCGCCGGAACCCAACCCAGAGGCGGAACATCCTACACTCACAACGAAGACACCAGCTGACCCTCCTGATGTGCGCCATTGGCCGCAAGCATACTCGAAGTGTCCTATTTTTCGCGTTCTCTACAAAGCCGCAGCAAACCAACCAGGAGAAGCTCTGCAAATCGAGTTATGTAATCGCCAATTTACCTTTCGCTACGTAGAGCCTTGCCTGCACATCCGCGTTCATGGACTGTGGCGCATCTGCGTCCCGCAATTCCGTGAGTTCCTTACTCACGTTCTGCATTCGCATCACGACCATGTCACAGCCGGCCATCGAGGCCAGAAGAAGACCTTTGCGGTTCTCAGCAAGCACTACTACTGGCCAGGAATGCGTGCCTACACTACTGCTTATGTTGAGTCATGTACCCACTGTCGCGCACCAAAGTCTATTAACCAGAAGCCTGCAGGCCTTCTTCACCTACGCATCCGTTGCGTAGGTGCATTCCTTACTCTGCTAAGATAGCTAGGTGCGAATTATTAAAGCAAAGTATTTCTACCCTCAGGTCCGGAAAAAATAGCTTTTAGATGCCGGAGCAGCCCCCAATCTTAGAACATTCACAGGCATTTCTAGTCTATACACGTTAATTTGTTAATAAATTGCATTTGTATTTCACTAGTAAGAGGTTACAGCGCTCAATTCGCGTCTCAACCTCTTAACCGCCTATAGGTCATCAGTTAGCTATCCTCTATAGGTCAACAGCAAGCCCCATTGTAGTGCCTGCGCACTACAATGACCCTGGATACAACAAGGTCGGCGGCTTGCAGAGCTTTTCACTTGAGTAGAGTCAATCTACTTTCGTTGCATTTGCCCATACAATCGGTTTGTCGCTCTGTTGCTGATGTATACAAGCTTACTTACCCGCTGTTAAAGATGACACTGTTAAGCGACGTTGTACTACCAAAGCTCCGCTATTTGCCATCAGCTCTTGTCGCAGCAAAATCCCCATTGTTTGCCTTCAAATCTTCTCGGATGAGTAGAGTAAGACAGTTTGGAAATGGGAGAGAGATTTACTGGTAGAGTGATGAAAGATAGTAAAGTCTAGCACTACCTTCTGTGGTGTAGAGCGTGCACTAACAGTTTGGCACGGCCAGATGCTCTAACGTTTCACAGGAACAGTGGTGAACGGGTATGAATTTAATGGAGCTCAACTTCCGTTTCATGGTAGCTGCTGTGATACTGGAACCTAGTGAAGTCGACAACTTTGATCTACCATGTTCAAAATGGAGTAAAAGGTAATCACCACCAGATGCTGCTTATGTATTCTTCGCTGGAGCTGCAGTAGCTCTCGAGAGCGCTCACGCATTTATTCCACTCCTGGATGGTATACAGAGGGGCAGTGCTGATCTTTGCGCTAAATTTGTCACTACGAACTGATCCTTAGCCCTACGTATAGTCGCGTGCTCAAACCCAACACGGAGCGTGCATTGCAATGCACAGCATTTGCGTGCGTTTTAATGCACAGTATTTAAGGCCTTCACTAGCCCTAACCTGCAGTGCAGAAAGGGAAAAATTAGCAGAGGCGGGACTGCGATTTATTAAGCGGAAAAGGTAGAATTGTCAAGGTGCCTAGGCCCTACAGCGTACAAGCTTGTGGCTGGCAGCCAGCGACTCCAGGCAGAAGTTCCAGAATCTCTATGAGAGCCTCATTCGCTTTATTTAATTTATGAAGTACAGCATTAGTTTGCGGGATGACACGTTATGCAGGCAGCCCCATCAACAGTCCAGCCAGCAGCCCTGTCGTCAGCGACATCTCACTATGATACCCTTTTCTCGGCTGCTCGTTAACAGGAATTCCTTTTTTTCCGTACTAAAGCTAAGCAACTCGTTTTCATCAGTCCCTTTGAGCGATTCTGTAGTTGCTGCCATGGCCCTCGGCGGAGCGCCTCCTCTTGCGCGAGCAGCAGTGGTTAAGTTCCCAGCCGCTGCAGCCGCAGCAAAGTTCACTTGCCGGCATTTAGCGTCCTATTCTACTGCTCTATTCAGAAGTCTCCTGGTTCCTGTGGGTAGCAGGACCCCCTGGGCAGGGTGCGGCCTGGGTGCATGCAACAGGGGCTTTGCAAGCGATGATTCGTTCCCTAAGGCGCTTGAAAGAGACCTCAAAGATACAATGAACATTCCAGTCGGGGGGGAAAACCTGTATCGTAGAGTAGGTGGACCTGGCTACCCCATGCTGTTCGACGTGAAGTACGACAGGCCCACGTGGCAGCCGCTGTGGGAGGATGAACATGAAGTTATCCCTAGAGATGGATACGGGTAGGGATATATACGAACGCGTAAATGAACGTGTGCAAGACAAGCGAACATTTTCTGTCCATGTATGTGCCAAACAGCCAATATAGGTCATGCGTTTACATGGTGCTCAAGTTCTTCAAACATACACATTTCATGTGGATGCTTTGAAAGTGAAGCGTCAAGTGCGACTGTCACAATAAACTTTGCGGCTTGAACAGGCACACCTGGTTTTGATAGAGGGGCTAAATATAAAAGTACCAGCTGCTCGTTTCACTACAGCTGCAGCTGCTCGTTTCACTACAGCTGTTGCTAATGCAATCACAGTTCCGTCACCCTGTCACATTTCCGTTTCTGCATCTCTCAGCAGCGCTAAGTCTACAATGGAGGGGCTAAATGTCGATATGTTTTTGGCCATCGTCATTTCACGTATATACTCCAAGTGGCCTCGTTTCTTAGTACGTACCCGTTGTCCGCAGTGGTCTGTTTGCGTTAGTGATTTCGTTTTTTCCCAGTTTGAGCTTTTCTTCGTGTGGTGTCTTGATTTTCTTCACAGCGTACCAGCCCACATCCCCCCTGAGGTGTCTACCAAGATCAAGCACGTGTTCCATGTTCCTCCTCAGTTTTATCCTTTTTTGAAAAAGCTGGGAGACGACACTCCTGCATTGCGTCCCTACATGGAGAAGCTAATAAAGGGAGAATTGACGTTCGAAGACTACGAGGATATGTTTTACAGGTTTGCAAAGCCTGCAAAGATCTACAGAAGACAAATTCCGGAACCCTACAGAACTCCTGAGGAGATAGAAAGAGAGCAAGAGGTCGCATGGGAGGGAGCTTGGCTCTCTTACAGGCAGCGCGTCTTATCTGGTGAGCTGATTGGATTAACTGGCGTTTCCAGTGCTTTTAGTCTAGTCGCTCACGCATTATCCGTCCCTCCTGACCTACGAAGAAACGCAAGAACCATTGTTGAGGGAGAAACTGCCATTCTCATTCTGCTCTCGTTTTTTCTTCAATTATTTGACATCAATGGTTTTTTTTCTGCGTTTGTGTGTCTATACAGACTACCAGTCAAGTATGTATCTGCGAGAGTACCTTTTTGGCGCGTTGGTGGGCGTTTTCTTCGGCTATCTGTGGCTGGACCAGCACCGTCAATACCGCATTGACATGAAGCTGTTCTACTTGGAGGCCCCCGAAAACAAAGTTAATTGGGTGAAGCCTCGGGGAGATCTTGTGTAATCTTGGTATCTTTTTCCCAGCGCTCAGTTGCGCATTCTTCTGTGTGGATTGGGTGCACTGTTTGCTGCTGCAGATTTTCACCATCTGTGCCGGCGCCTGTGTTCCTGCTACATACCAACTGCGGGGTATTAATCAGTTAATTAGTGGTTATGATTCACGAATGTAGGCAGTACATATAAATTAGGCATTTCTTCACGTTCAGTGCAAAAACCACTGTATTAAACTGCGTAGAGACGACCATGAAAAGCAATAACGCCACGCGGCTGTCAACAGGCTGTCGAAAAACCTCTCCCGTTAGGTTGGTGGCAGAACACGCAGCATTCAGCAATAGTATGTAATCGAGTGCGTAACAGTAGCCAGTAGCAGCTCACACAAGTATTGATAAATGCGGAATAACAGCAAATAGAAACAGTTTCTGATAGTCTAGACAACGTGCGGAATAACAGTCAGCTGCTATATCGGTGGCTTGATAATCCTAAACTAGCCAAACATGCGGTGCTCTACGTGTTAATTCCGAGCCCTCGACAGCAAATTATGAACATTACAAGACTACAGGGGAGCGGGAAATGGACACTAAATCTGCTCGAAATCCACAGTGTTGTAGTGCATCGCTTTGAAGTCTCTTCTGTTTTCAAGCAACGAAAGACCGCAGTCACATGTAATATCTAGATTTAGATGTATGCCTGTAATTCTTTATACAAACTCGCGTAAATGTAAGTAAATACGCGAGCACTAGCGATTTTGTTGCTGCTAAGTTGCAGCAGTCTGCACCCAGTGCCAAAAGAGGCAATGAAGTAGTTCCCTCCACAGCTCCATTTATTACGCAATTTTTTATTTGCCTGAGAACAGTGGGCAAAGTAGCACTAACATTTAGTTGCACGCGGATTGGCTTGAGCCCTTCAGGTCACAACCGCCTTTCAGGCTACTACCTGTTGCTGCTACTATTATGGCTGAAGACTCCTCTGAGCAGAGGAGGATAGTTTCATTTGAGATCCCCTCTACTCCCACACTTGTAAGCATTTGTTTCCTTGTTCAGATTTCTAGATAATCCTGAGGCAGCTGTGTCAAGCTGCATAGTAAGCGATAAAGGGCTTTCTACTTGGCACAAACTCGCCTAAAGGCGGGTGCTTTCCCCTGTGTAACGTCGAAGTGTCAGAGACCGGCACTCATGCCGTAAAATGACCCACAAACAGACCCATAATAGATCCATCTTTCGAACGACACAGTCGCTGAGGCAATGCTAATAAGAGAAAACTGCCAGTGTTAATGGCTCATGGTACCGAATAAGCGTCTGGTGCTACACCCTAGAGCCGCTCGTCGCTCACGAGGGCTTGCAAAGGCCGCTGGGACGTGAGCATTTAACGCTGAACGTGAAAGATCCCCATATGTTGCAGAGTAGGTATTCACGCTGCTTTCTAGCAAGCTATTTGCTGAGGCTGGCTACTGAAGACAGTGGGGAGTTCCCCCGTTTCCTTTCCAAGTTATTTTACAGTCCTTCTGCTGCCCTCTAATGAACCACCATCAGCCTGTGCCCGGTCTCTTTTTCTCTGTTTTGACGTGTTCGAACTTTTCGTAAATCCCATCGGTGGCTCCACAGTGCTGCACAGTGCTCTGCAGAGCCCTTATTAAGCAAAACGCAGCAGGTGCCTGCATTTTCGTGTTCTTTCACTACTACTCTCATATGCATATTTTTGAAATATAAAGACAGGCAACCCAAATAACCTTTGTCCACTCATTACATTGCTCCATGAGGGAGGCAACACCAGATATATTTGCTTGCAAATAGTGTGAGTTCAACTGCAGCGTCTGCTACCGCGTGTAGCAATGTGACTGTAGCCAGCTGCAGCATTTTCTAGCGGTACCTGAGTAGCTGCATTTGTCTGTAATGGAATGCAGCTAGTTACTGCAAATTCAGACTGATAGTATTTGGTTACTTTTTGCTATTCATGGTCGCAGAGGCTCCATTGAATCAATCCTTTCACTTTCTGGATGCGACGTAGGGCGACCGCAGCCCACAGAAGAAGGCTTTCCCCTTGATTTGAGTTCACGATTGTGTTTTCGGTTATGTCTTTGTTGTTTCTTTTCGCTTAATTCGCTCTGTTGTGCAAATGGGATGCTGACACCATTACCTGCGATTAGGGCACCTGGGCGACCACACAATGAGACCCCTGCTGTTTCTGTTTACTTTTAAAAACCCACCTAGACGACTCAATAAATGCTCAGTTGAAAATGAAACGCTCAAATGAAGGCACTGGAATGGTCCATTCGCCACAAACGCACGAAGAGCGGGTAGTGGAGTTGCTGCCGATTGCTAGGGAATCGACATGCAAAGGAGTGGAATTGTCCATAGTGATAAAATGCTTAGACAAAAAAATTGAAAAGTAGGGAGGAATGGGCTGTTGTCCGAACTATTTAGCAGAAGCCGTTTATTTGCAGACATACGTGTCACATCCGCTTTGACTGCCTGTGCAATAAGCGGGCAACGCCCCTTCATTTCGGTCATTTCAGACGAAGATTGTGGCTTCTCGGTTCTTCTGTGGCTGAAATTTGCTGATAATGATTTTTAAACTTTAGTTAAGTTCAATTTGGCTAAATCCTGCCAACTGTACTCACTGCTCGGCCGTGCTGGTGCAGCACTTGGCTTCCACAGGCTGCCGTCCAAAGCCGTTTGTTCTCTTTTACAAATGCAACTACGCGTATGGTTTCTGTCCAAATAGTTTAGACCCTATTTTTACATCCTCATTTAGCGGCAGCGTCTATTGTGTCTGTACACCCCAGTCGGTTTTGCTTGAACATGCGAACTGGCAGCCCCCGGCCCTTGCTCTCCTACTAGCGCCGCCTTGCGTGGAAAGCTGATGTTTTGTTCTTTTTCGTAGCTTCTAGAGCTCACCCAGTTGTCCTCTCACTCAAAATTTCCCCTCTTGCACAACGGCTAGGGCGACTGGCGTCAGGCTCGCTCCTTGTTTCCGAATCCCCAAGCTCGAAGTTCTCATTCTCTACTGTTTGTATGCGAGCGCCACATCTCAATATGGATGCTCACTCCCCTCAATGCCAGCAACCGACTCTACGTGGGGAGGTTTAGCACAGTTTCCCTACGCCCCCGACCATTTCTCTCCCTTCGCCACCATCTACTGCGCAGCATTGCCGGCTAAGCTAGCCAGCCCCCACTGAGTCTGTGCCGTTCTAAAGCACCAGCAGCATGAAAATGGCCGCAGAAAGCTTGATCGAAACTTCCGCCGTCAGTTTATGCCCCAGCGGGGCCTGCGACTCCCCAGCCCCCCTCGAGTGGCTCTCAGCAGATGAGGTACCTCAAGCCCCTGGGGTCCCTGGAGCCCCTGGGGACTCTGGGGGCACGAAAGCACCCCAAAGCCTTCCCAAAACTAACAGATGTAATGGTAGTAAGGGAGATAAAGTTCGTGACCGTGTCCACCAGCCCTCGTTTGAGCAATCGAGGCCCCCATCTGTTTCACCTGATTTAGGGGAAGTTCCGCAGGTCGATGTGGCAGCAACTGCTGCTGCAGCAGAGACAGCAGAAGCAGCAACAGAGCCGTCAGAAGCAGCAGCATTAGCAACATCAGGAGGCTCGTACTCAGCTACAGTACTGGACAGTGCTGCAGCAGCATTGAACCCTGCTGCAGCAGCAGCACAGACTGCGGCAAGCACAAGGCGTGCAGCAGCGCCCTCTACTTCCGCAAAATCTTCTGCCGGTGTGTTTGTACCTGCTGCTAAAGCACCATTCCCCTCAGCAGTAGTCCCGTCGCCAGAAGGAGCAGGAAAACCATCACCGTTGCCAGCAGCAGCAGGTGCTTCCGCTGCTCCTTCTCGCGGCGAATGTAGCAACCCTAGGGCCCACGAGTGCCTGTCGCACCGGATGTCCGCTATGAACACGCAGTTTGGCCGTTTCGTTCCTGGTTTTCTTGCTGCGGAGGATCGGGAGCAGCAGGCTCCATGCTGCTCTTTGAGCTCGCCGCTTCACACAATCGTTCATGTGTGTGAGTGCATGTCTAGCTACGAAGTAGACAGGGCCCTGGCGATCGAAAATCTAAGGCTCGAGAGAGTGCGCGATGCCCACGCGGTGGTGTTGACTCTTGCTGACAAATATGGGCCCGAGAAGATCCTTGAGGATGCTGATTTGGTGTTGATTTTGTACAAGTACGACGAGATGGACCGCATGTATAGCGTGATGAGCGGAAATGTGCTCTACAAACGCCGCTGCAACTACTTTCGGAAAGTCACTTCCAGCCTTCTTCCAGATTTGCATTCAAGCCATAGAAAGAAAGACAGTTGTGGTGTCCAAGATGGCCATCTAAACATCCACGACGCGCACCATGACCTAGGTGCTTGTACACCTCATCGGGAACTTGATCGTTGTCTCAGAGAGGGAATGCGCAGGCAGTTTTCTCTGCGCTCTTTGGGGACTCTGACGAACTGCCAGGTCCCTGTAGAGCATGAGTCTTGGAGCTTAGCTATTGAAGAGCAGAACAGACTCAAAATTTATTACAGAAGACACAGCAGCAGTACCCTACTGAGCTTCAGAGTCGAAGGAACGGTGGATGCATGCCTTCTTAATATTATTTCGGTCCTTAATGAGATGGATCTCTACAAAGATTGGATCCCATATTACACCTTCCCCCTCAAGTAAGACCGCAATGGCAAAAACAGGCAGCCTCCGAAACTGCAGCAGAGACAGAGTCAAACAAAACAACGGTAGCAAGAAAAAGGACTTAATTCAGTCAGTTCTGCTACATATCTGATGAAGGCAAGCAGATAGGGCCACCATATGGTGCCAAGCGAAAGTACACAATCCCCGTATACACCTCCCAAAACTAAGGTGATTGTGTAACCTACATTTGCAAAAATGCTAAATGAGTCTAGGAACGTAGCTGACAGGAAAGCCGCTAGTTACTTCGGGTGCTGTGAAATATTGAATTTGAAGTCGTGAATGTGATAACGACGCATGCATGTCCCGAGGCCAGTACGCCCCATGAGGTGGAATAATGAAGCGCATGAAATAAGCACTAGGTGTCGCGCGTTTAAGTTATGTTTTTGCCCAGACTCGGTCTCAGAGACGTCAAGCGGCTGTACCAATTTGGACGCGTTGAGCAGATTGACTTACTGCAGCTTGACTTCCCATGGCCGATGAACAACAGGTAAGAAGCCATAGTGCTTCTGCTGCAGTGACAGCAGCTGCTACAGCATCAGTTGGTACTGACAACAACCATTAGCAGCGGGGAAGGCAGTAGCTGCAGCGGTTTTTCTCATGGTCCCAGGTGCTGCCGTCGTTGCTGCCGCAAGTAGCAAGCGGGGCACCAATGCATGTAGGCGACCTTGGCTTTAAAACAGCTTACATCATGCTCGTGTCCATATATGTCTTTTCATTGGAACATGGTCATAGTGGGTCCCAGTTTCATTTACGAATATCTTAAGACCTAGCAGAGTTTCAGCGTTGAACCATCGCCTTCAACAGTGGCTGTTCCTTTCAGTACAACGGGCTAAGCACCCTGCGAAGCATTAGACATTTGAAGTGAAAATAATAAAAAAAAGTAATTATGTACAAAAACAGACAAGTATGCGTACATTAACAACCAAACGGGCAAGTACGGGGCCAGCCAGCCTGCCCAACCGATGGTCCAACAGACATGTCCTAATTCTAATAGTAATACTTGTGTGCGAAAAGATATAAATGTGAAGCCATTGTTGTTCTGCAGGGACTGCTGTGTTGAAATATGGGCAGCAGACGATCTAGAGCACACGAACCGATTCTTTGTCAGGGTCACCTCCCTAGATGGGGGCACGGCCAACCCTAGAGTACCCCTGGTAAACAAGTATTACATGAGTAAATGAAACAGTTAATCATCTGATCAACGAGTCGCCGATCAATTGGTAAATGCACGTATGCATAAGTTCCATACGTTTATAAGCACCAAACAAGGCGATATAGAGAATAAAAGGCAAGCATGTTGCAGTGCAGCGTGGATAAGTAAAGAGGTGAACAAATAAGCACAGACAAGTAAGCAAGGCCAACACGTAAGCATTGTGATGGGTTTCTGTTTCATTTGGCCCTCAATACTGTTCGTTCATTTCCTTTATATTTTGTAATCATGATTGTACATTTAGTAGCTGCACCAAGCATTTTAGCAAATAACTAAAGAAGCAAGCAAATAAACCTGCATGCAGGCAGAACAAATAAAAGAACAGAAATGGACGGAAGAATGCATAACCAACTGAGAGGAGCAAGTAGTCTATTTTATCACAAGTCAAGTATTTAAGGATTTGACTGGAAGAGCGACCACTTGATTTACTCATGAATTCGTTCAGAGAGAAAAATGATGAATTTATTGATAATTTAATATGTTATTCATGTTCAGGCAATACCGGTGCCTCCACCGAAGACTTTGCGTCTGTACTGCGAAGGGGCGGTCGTATTGGTGCCTTTGTCTCCTACGAAAACATTCATAGAGTTATTCTGGACACTGGACCCTAAAGTGCATCTTAATGATTACATTGTGAACTTTTTTGCCAAGTAGGGAGCTGCAGGCTAATGCTGCTTTTTCCGCTCAGCTGTTGTCGTGGTTGCGTGCCTTTATTATTTTCTAATTGGACACGAAAGCTTATTTTCCCGGTATATCTTTCTGAGTGCTACGCAGTTAGCTTTTTTTGGACTCTGCTGGGGATCTACTGTCTTTTTTTTCCTGTCCACATGGCGCTTACAACGAATAAGTACTTGCGTATTTCTTGTTCCGTTTGGTCATTATGCCCACTGTACTTAGTGTTGTTTTGTGGGTTTTATTGTTGTAGATTCTCTTTGTATTTTGCAGCGTTACTATTTTATTTCTGCACCACACTTTCGATGATTTGAGCCCAACCGTATGACTTCTACTTGTGCACATCTTCCGCGTTCATCTAATTTACTTCATGCTTCAGGTCTCCCATTGTCTCATGGTTAGTTTGGTTGCTTGCAGTTTCTCTGAATCTCATTCACAATTAGTTCGATTGTTCGTCGCTCCGGGGAGTTCTTTTTCTCTGAGTGCAAGCCACATGCTTAATAGTCAGTGTGCTCGTTGCGTCAAATGATATCATTGAGGGAATGTCTCTGCGGGGCCTTCTTTTCGCTAAAAAATTTCGAAAGTTTCGATATCGATGTCTGTTCGTGACTTGTTTTTTCTCTGTCACGTTTATTTGGGTCTAGTGCTTGAATTTGATTTCACTGCTTGTGTTTTTGCAGGAATTGAGTGCAGGAACTTGCCTAATCTGGTTTGTGCATGCGTTTCAGGGTTTTTGCTAAGTCCTCTTTTCACGCTTTCTGCAAAGTCTGCATAGAGGCAACCGTCGGGGAACATGCAAGGCGAAGAGCGCAGTTTCCCTTGCTGTACGGTTTTGTGGAAGGCCGTTTATGTGAATTTGAGTCCACTGTTGGGGGCACTGAGGAAAATAGCACCAGCGGCAACAACAACAGCACACATCTGCACAACGCCAGCAACAGCCGTAATGCTCTGGGGGAAGAGAGCAGCGCACCCAGCCACAATGCTGCTGCCCAGTCAGCTGTTTTGTCTGCAAAAAGCTCAAAAGTTGATGAAGATGAGGCTCTTGAGGGATTGCAAAACAGGAAAAACAAAAGCAAAGGTGGCTTTCTGTTCCGCCGCCGCCGGAATTCCTTCGCAACAGAAGTTGCCTAGGGAAAATCTGTCTATGTTCTTGTTCATTCAAGCAATATATACTTACTTTTTTTATGTTCACTACCGCTTTTTGAGCGGGAACACAAATTGGTCAACGAATCACTGTGATATGGGACCCTGCACAGCCCGGGCCGATGAAGTTGCAGGATCTCACTATTTGCATTATTGTTTGACTCGCGTTGAGTTGAAGGAGGAAAAAAGGCCAAATGCTACAATTTGTGTCAGTATGCTGATGCTGCTCTGATTCACTTAGCTGCGTCTTCTCGTCCGCTGCTCGCGAGCCCTTCAATTGCCAGAGATTGGCCTGGCCGCCTTCACTTTCTTCTTCACCTCTTTCCCAATATCATTTCTCACGTATTTGCTGCACGGGGAAATACGTTCATAGGTAGAGTTAGATAAGAAAGGGGCTGTTGGCTCATTACACATCTAAATAATTGCAATCCGTGCACGATTAAGAAGCTTTTTATGATTGCAAGGACGCACGTATATAAGTGCATCCGCTTGCCTCGCATATATATATATTATATGTATGTATTCGCATACATACGAGATTCATATATGTATATACCTAGGTTCATGTATGTATGGATCCACGATCACATATATAATGTGTAAACTACACAATATAGAATATGCACGTGTAAACTACACAATATATAATATGCATTCGGTATATATGTATATTAGTTGTATTTCGTAATATATATAGTGCTGTATTTATTTTTTTCCGCTTACATTTGTATACTCATGAATTCTATGCTAGTGTGCTCGCTATGCTCATAAACGTATTCGAAGAAACATTATCTGCATGTAAGACATAGTTCAAATGAACTGGAAACGGTGCGTTTATTCTGGCTAATGGCGTATGGGTGCATGTGCATTTGTGTACATACAGTAGCGCCATTATGCCTCTACGTTTAGATGCATTTCCTATTTTAGTGCGACAGGGTGAAAATGATACGTATGCTGTGGGTAATGAGTTACATACTTACACATGTTTACGTATACTCCGCCGCATCCATTTGCCTATGGCGACTTGTGATTTGTTAATCGTTCCATTCAGCGGGCAGAAAACGCAACAGGCTGCTCCGGTTCCAAGCTGGAGCGTACTGACATGGCGCTGGGAGAGTGCAAGAAGCCTTCAATCATAATTCCCTGCTGGCCCTAAATAATGAGTTCAAAGAGCCGTACAGTCGGGCTTTGAGGCACGTGGAGGGTGGCCCACACAAAATATGGCCTGCAGTAAATACCCGTAGAGGAACCTGAATATGGGTTCGTTAGATTTCCTATCGAATCCTAGCTTTTAATCACATACAAACTTTACCTGGGTCTCCGCAAGACTTCGGCTCATAGCACCCGCTTGTGGGACCACAGATGACTTACTCCGGTTAAAGGCACCCGCCTGTGTGCGAGTTGAATATACAGCTTTGCACAAAATGAGGTGGCGAAGATATCGATGCTTGGGCCTTTGTTTGGGGTTGACAGGATGCATTTGGGGCTTTCGACGGCAAGATAACTTTTAAAAAAAATATTAACAAAGTGGCACCCATGGCGATGGCTAGAATTGCTGGGACCTCTATCTGGTGTCGCTGATGCTGCCTTCGCAGCAACTGGAGTTGCGCCTCCGATCAAGATATCTCACCGCAGAGTTTAAAAGCCACGTTGTACTTTTTGTCGTTCCGCGGAATATCGAATGTCGACAGTTGTTTGCTCTGTGTGAGTTGGAAGAGAAGCGAAAGGCCAGCGTGACCGGGTGTAAACACGTGTTTGCCCCAACTTTTAGGATCCATGCCAGCAAACACTTCTACTTGCTTTCTGTTCGAATCAGTCAAGACTTCAGAGGCACAAAACACAAAATTCGTTCAGGCAGCACTCAAAGTAAGGTTCGCCCTGGCAACAGTCAAAGGTAGATTTCAAAATGCTGCGCTTACGCTGTGATTAAAAGACAATCTCATAAGCTGGGAACACACTAGAGCTTCGCATTCGGAAGCTGTGATCGACTCCAGCTACAGGTGCGATGCAATCCGCTTGTACACGTGCGCATTGTGGTACTAAGAACGAAAACAAAAAGATTCATACCTGACTGTTGCCAAGTGAATGCTTTCTGAGGAGAAGATGACTTCCACTGCCACGAGGCAATACCCGTGGCTCAGAATCATTCGCGACCTCAACTGCAAGTCGGCATGTTCAGTCGACTGCATTGGATACCTCAGTGCACATGCAGAACGAAATGCGCTTACTCATTGGACATTGTATACCTCACTCGGTTTGGGAGCTCACTAAGAGGTGTCTTGAAGCTCTAATTGCATTGTGAGTTTACAACCTTGCCTTCATCATGCTTGCACAAGACATCCTGACGAGCGGTTCATTTGCACATTCGTGAAACATGAAGCTTAGAGCACTTAGCAAAGTATAAAACAGTTGAACGCAGCACACGAAGATGACAAAAAGCCATTTGCATATTCACACTTTGGCGGGACAGTGCTGGATGAATCGCCAGTGCGTCAAACCAGGAGCCAAAGTTCTGCAATGATGCGCATTGAGAGCACATTGTCAAAGTCACACACATGCCTGGCGTGCAGGCCTCTGTCCGCTGCCTATGCTTCGATTGGTCATCTCTAAAGCCCCGTAGAGACTCCGTAAAAGTCTGTTGTCAAATGTATTGCAGCGTGAAGCACTATCTCTGGGGCTCGCTGTAGGGAGTTCCTCGCTAAAAGTGTATGGCTTAAGTGCGAAAGGTTATCAACAGGGCGTAAGAAAGAAGTTGAGGGCCCGCTAGGAGGAAAGGTACTGTCTCTTCGGTTGGCCACCACGCGAAATCAGCACAGCGGTGGATACTGAGGCTGAGAGATCCCTTACGCGCAATCTAGGAAAAGTCCTTTGTTAAAGCCCACTACTACACAACGTGTGGAAAAGGAACTGCAGCATTGCAGCTAATTTTGTACCCCCAAAAACGAAACCCAAAAGGGCGAAATATTGGCCTATGCTATGGTCTAATTTTTACTGGGCAGCGTCCCACCCGAGTAGGCAAATAGGTTGACACTCTGTGGCCGCAACAAGTCATCTCTGGAGTAACATTTCTGGCGTAAAGGTTGCTGCGACCGCCGAGCGTGTAAAATTAAGCGCGGAGAGTCCTCCATTCTGAAGTGCATGTGCAGATTGTGTATGGCTTCTATAGTACAGGTTGTACAGCAGTTTAACCAACGCGCTCAGTAGATATTGGACCCCCTGAGTTACTTTTTGAAGCAGCGCCTCACCGAGCTCATCATATGCTTATCTCATTAACTACATACGGATGATATTGACGTCAGCACTATCCGCCAGCACTTTTGATCGAGTGCCTCGAGGTATTTCCCAAACTTCACCCCTGTTGAACGTGGAGGTGTGGAAGGTCCCGTGGGGCCCCTGCAATACACGCCTGAACGATTCAGTGTTTTGTTCACCCCATGATTCGGGTCTAATAATTTTGAATAGCAATTTGTTGCAAATGCATTGTTCCAATATAGTCAAACCAGTACGACCTGCGGGACGTTGAAGGCGCTTCCCAGTAGGTGAGGGTCACAAGTGAGGTTGCGAGGATTGCACCTTGATGAGCGCAGGCAGTGGCCAGCCACTGCAAAAATTTTGCATGCGTACGTAAGGCGGTTCCTGCTGAATAATTTCGTGAGTTCTACGCTTGGTTTTGTGAAGGACCTCCCGAACTCCTTTTGTAGTTGCCCGTGTCGGAATATCCCTCTCATGTCCTTTGGTAGTTGTTCGCAACTATACTTGGCCAAAGCTTTTTAATGCCTGAACTTGTTTCAGGAACTCGTTTCAGATCCAGCCCAGTCTCAACTGTGCTGCGCCCAACTGCCCGTAGAGTTCCGTAGATCCACAGCAAACAGCCTCGAATCACAGTAACAAAAGCCCATCACATCTGTTGCCCAGCCTCTTGACTGTAACTTAACACCGTTTGTGAGAGCTCAAGTGTCTGCGAGCCAGAGACCGTCGGTGTTTGCTGCCTGCACGTCTCCCACATCTGTCGCCTCGAACAATAGCCGAGGAGCTAAGAGTCATTTGGCGCTGGGGATGAAGGGTAGGATAAGCGTGATGCGATCTCAAGTGGAAAATTCATCAATCTGCCCGTCCTTATTTGAGCGAAGTACCGGCCACACGAGTGTGGAAACAGGGTGCCACGCATCCTTAGTTTCCTCGCGATATTGTTCGCGAGCAACCGCGCAGTGTCTACGCGGACCATTTGGTTTTGTCGTCCCTGGGCTTACCATTTAAGGCAGTGAACTAAGGTTATCACCTACCAACAGTGCAAATACGTGGTGCACAGACGAAAAAATCAACTTCCTAGCGACACAGCTGTATGTCTTCGTACTAAATAAATGCATGCCAGTACAAATGAACCATGGAGCAATAAAACTGCGGTTTTCTTGTTTGAGTAACGAAAATACTTTGCTAATTCCTACTAAGAACACTGTGGCGCGTCCCCCCAATTTCGACAGGCTTCGCTGAGAAACCCATTGCTCGTACCGCCACACATACATACAGGAGAGAGCCAAGACGGGAATATATTGGCACAGAAGAGAAGTGACAGCGTACTGAAAGCATTTTCAACGCTACGGACGACGAGTGTCTGCCAAAGAAAAGACATAGCCAATAATGAAGCTTCGAGTTGCATGGTTCCGGACAACTCTGCGCATGACAGGAAATGAGAGACATTGGTACGCGCCAAAGCAGCTAGAACTGCCACAGAGGCAGCTATGAGATAACATTCTGCGTAGAGGTTTGGCATGAAAGCAGGACACGTCCACTAGTGGCACGTAGGCACCAGAGGTACATCTATAGATATCGCTGGAAGAAGCTAGCTCACGGGAAAACTATTGAGAAGGACCTAGCAGTTTTCCGTGAAGTCGCCAACATTACGCTCCAAAAGCTATTGCACGTGCAGAAATTTAGCAGCAGCAACTTAAGCAAAAAAAAACACCAGTTAAAGCGGGTGTGAACAAAACCACACAGCACAGTTGCGCGTGAAGGAGCTGGAGCAAAAATATCCCACATGACAGAAGCGGCAGTAAAGCACATCCGCACATGATGTTGCACCGACACCAAAAGTAGCCGTAAGCAACGCTGTCCAAACCACTGCGCCGGCTGCTGTCACTCTTCCCATTATTGATACTGCGCACACTGCTCTCACTGCTCCCGTTGTTGCTGTTGCCACTCCTCCCATTATTGATGCTAAGCCTACTGCTATCACTCACTATTCTTGTTGCTGACACTGCTCCTACTTTTGTCAACCATCCCGTTGTTGCTGCGGAACCTACTGCGATCATGGATTCGGTTGCTGCTGCTCCGCATACGCTGTTACTCATCCCGTTCCTGCTGCTGCGCACCTTTCTGCGACCGTTGCTGCTGCTCTGCAAGTTTCTGTGAAGGTTGCTGCTGCTGCGCACATCGCCGTAACTCATCCTGTTCCAAATGCTGCGCATACTGTTATAACTCATCCCGCTGCTCCTGATACACTCACTACTATCACTGTTACAGTTGCACACTTCGCCTTCTCTGTCCGGCGCGGCTGTAGAGTGAAACAGAAGGTCGATATGGAGCAGCGGCAGCATGGCTACATCACCCTCAGAGGCGTCTTGGGAGGATGCGGGAGACATCCGTGAAGCGCGCGTCCGGTCCAGCCAACCGGCAGCGACCAGAATATTGACTGCTTTTTATCATCTTGCCCAGAATTCAAAAGCTATTGCAGCGATTCGACAAGGTGTTGCTCCTGCACTGCCCTGAGTGCGGCACGGAGCAGGTAATGTTTCAATAGCCAGCATTCTCCATCCCAGCTCATCATCCCAAATTAATAAGAAACAACAAAAGTACATAGCAACAGCAACCAATTGTAGACACTAGTTGAGAACCTCCGCCGCCCTGCGTGCAGGTAGGAAACCGTTCCCGCTACTGCTGCTGCTGCTGCTACTCCTGCTCCCAAGTCCGGCCGCCGCAGCAGCAACATCTACTGCGCGTATTTGAGCGTATGCTTCTTTCAATATACCATTTTATTGCTCTGAAGGCTGCCAAATTTTATTGTGCTCTGGCGTGGCGTACACTTTCTGGGGCCTGCGAGAGCAAGGGAGACTGCATGGAGCAGTAGCAAGAGTTCAAATGCTTAGTGAAGCCAGCCAAAGGGGAGCAATGATACGGGAGCTTACAGAAAAACTACAGCGAGAAAATAGAAATGCAGAAAAGCAAAGAGCCCATAACTTGACATACCAGTGAGGAGACAGGAACCTCGTTAGAGAGAAGACAAGGGCAGGTACAAAACAAGGAAGGCACTCGCAAACAGGCGTAATTGTAGTACTTATAGGTGGCCAGACGGCCACAGAGACACATAGTATGCCAGGCACCAGACGCCGACACGGTGCCGTGGTGCGATGTGGCGTCACGACGCAGATGCACAGTACGGAAATGACATGATTAGGAACATCATAACTCAGAAGTGTGGCTCAAAACCAGGGCTATTTAGGGCGAGGGCAAAGCTTTTGGGAGCAGCGGAGGGGAACAAAGCAGCACAGGTAAGGGCACAGGGGAAGCACTGGCTCCAACTTTTTGACTGTCTGAGCCGTTCGCTTGAGAGCGACAGCAGGATAAGAGCCCTGGACTATACACTGATGGGCTAGGGAGAGCAGCCAGGGATGCCAGATGCCTTTTTGCGAAATGTTGCATTCACACACCGAACAAGTTGCGTCTTCTGGCATGCTGGAGGAGCCGCAGAATAGGCAGAAGCAAGAGCAGCAAAGGGTTGTGGTCGCATTTGACGTGTCAAAAGGAGAGGCAGTTGATCCAAGCGACCCCTCTTTTACTCGCTGCTGCCGTTTGCTGAAACAGCTCGGCTGCACATGTGTTGTAAACAAATCCCTTCTTAATCTCGCAAAGCTAGAGCGGCACGGAGTGTCATTATTAATTGTTGGCAATCCAAGCAAGCCGTTCACTGCCGAGGAGCTCACGTGTCTAAAACTGTTTCTACAAACTCCTCAAACCGACGCAGCTACTCACTCAGCAGCCGTTCCTGTTGGCGTTCAGTGTCAAGAGCCTACACCGATGGGTGATGCTCCGGTCACTGCGTCAAGCGACAACGCTGCAGCAGCAGATACTATAAAGATGCCCTCTCAGGACGCAGCAGAGGTGGAAACAGTAAAATCAGATTGCTCCCCCACGGAAGCTACGACAAAGACAACAACGGCAAATGTACGTCAAGCCCGTAGCATCCTTGTATTGGGTGGGAGCGGCAGCAGCAGCAACGTGAACTTTCTGCTTGAAGAGATGGGCCTCTCGCTTGCTGCAGACTCTGTCGTTGCCGTCACCCCTCCTACGCTGCAGCAGCAACAGCGCGGAGTCTGCCATCCGAGAGAAGTGGTGCTCCAGCAGCAGCAACTCGTAGGGGCCAGCATGCAGCACCTGCTACAGCAGCAGCAAGGCCACACAAGTGGCAGTAGGGCCACATTTATTTACCCATACGGATCCAGCGTGTACGTGCAGCACCCTGCCGTTCCTTTGCTTTGTAGCAGTAACTGCTGCAGCCCTTCTCAACGTCCCTTGATTGCCGCGGCAGCTGCTGCTGGCGGAGGCTTTGTTGTCGTTTGTGGCAGCAGCAGGCTGCTGCAGGACCCATACCTAAGCCTCTACAGCAACACAGATTTGGTGCGTTTGCTATTGCAGCTGCTGCTTGGCCATATCTCTCTGCAGCAGCTGAGGCCGACTGCAGCAGAAGCAGCAGCTGCAGTAAGGAAATATATCCGGCAAACTGACACAGAAATTATGTCGTTGCTGCCTCAGCCTTGCCTAGAGGCGCCTCCAGACGCCTCTAATGACTTCCGTTCGCTGCACCAGCAACAGAGCTTTGCTGTGCAACCTAGGCTGCTGAAGCATCTACAGCAGCTGCTGAAGCAGGTCAAGGCAAATCCCATAGATAAACCACTAGAGCCAATTAAGCCCACGTTGCTGCAACCGTTCCCTACCCTGAGGCCAGCACTGCACCCACCCATAACCCCGTGTTTTCGCGCCCCCTCTTTGCCTCTTGTTGACTTGGATAGTCTCTTCATGTCTCCTCAGCAGCATCTTCTTGCTGCTGCGGCCGCAGCTTTGGCTGATGAACAGGAGGCGACTGCAAATTCTGTGTGCGCAACAAGTGAAGTGCCAAGCGAATACTTTGTATGCCGATCACAAGCATCAGTTAGTGCACCGGCGAAACTTCAGCAAGAAGCCCCTCTAGTAAACTTCATATTGAGAGCCGCCAACGTGACAGGCATCTTGCGGAAAGAGGAGCAGCAGCAAGAGCATGAAGCTCATCAGCAGCAGGAGCACGAAACTTACAGTCACCACGAATACTCAGCAGGCAGGGAAGCGACAGCACGAGAAGCCTTGGCTCGCTTGCTGGGTTGCCTCTTAAACAGACGTCGTTGTGACTTAAAGCAACGAACAGGCTGTGCAACAGAATCGGCTTGAACTGTTTCCGCTGTTGCTTCGAGAGCTTCTGCTGCAGCGGCTGTCCTCTATCAGAATTGGGATGAGCCTCGCAGCAGCATATCTAATCAGTACGAGTGCAGCTCGAGCATACACTTATCTCGGAAGCTCAGGATACACCGAGAAAAGCAGCACGATTCATTCCATTTAGGAGCGAAAAGCTGCAGCGGTGCATGCTAAGCAAGGCAAACACAGATGCTAGTTCGGCTTTTGCAGTGTCTTTTGCTGCAGTAGTACCATCTGCTGCAGCTACAGACCTGCGTTTTCCTCTAGCTGCACCCAGAAAGAGCAGCCTTTGTTGTGAAGACTTTCTGTTGCCATTTCCACTTCTTCTGCTGCTGCTGCCGATTCTGGGTTCCAGTTCTTCAGTGAGGGCGATAAGCATAGCATGCTGTGGTGCTGGAGTAGTTCTTCCAGCGAACTTAGAGCCTGAAAACTGGTGCTGCCCGTGTTGCCTCTCTCATTTAAAAGGGAAGCAGCAGAAGTAGCTATGGATTGAGGGGGTGCGCTACCACTGCCGATCCTTCTGCTTGACGGTTCTGCTGAAGCAGTTCGGTTCGCGCCTGCTCTGCAACTGCTGCCGAGGGACAATGCACGCTCACTGAACAAAGGCACAGTGCTGCGATTTCTCGTGCTGCAACTTTTGTGGGAAGTGGTCAGCAGAAGCTGCTGCTCCCCGTTAACCAAACTTCTTAGCTGTCTTCTGCAAAGCGTCTCCTCTGACTGTAAAGCGAGTTGCTGCCTTTGCAGCTGCTGCAGCTGAAGTCTTCCTGATTCGGTTTGCCGCTGAAGCTGTTGCAGCTGCAGCTGCGATTTTTGCCTACTGTTCGCTGCTGAGTCTCTTTCCGCATGAGCGCGCTGTAGTATCCACCTGGCGCTGCAGGAGGGCAGACAGAGGCAATCACTGCAGCAGAACCCTTTGCAGCGGGACGGTGAAGCAGTTGCAGCAAATATGCTCTTCTTGAAGTGAACTAGCATGGTCTAAGCGAAGCAAGAGCAAGGCATTTAAACATTGATTCGCTCACGTGGCTGCTTCCCTCGTCCAGTACTGAATGGCGGCGCGAACTTTGCCTCTATCTGCTGCTGTCAGCAGCGCTTGCAGCGCCTCCTCCTGTTCCGCGTCTGCTGCAGCGGCAATGAAAGCTCTAACAGGGCCGTTTCTACCGTCACTCACTGTTTCTGTCAGTGCTGGTACTATGCCTTCTGCGTTAGCTGCAGGGTCCTCTGCAGCAGCCAAAAGAGCGGCAGCCTCAAGCTTTTGCTTATTTTGGATGGCAGTAGCAAAACGGCTTGTTTGCTGCAGAAGGTCTTGATAAGCTATTTCGCAGCAGCAAGATTGTTGCGCGAGCTGTTCGTATACATCGGTCTCTTCTTGCTGCTGCCGTTGTTGCTGCTGTTCAACCTCCTGGAGCTGCTTTGCCACCTGAAGACACGGGCAGGCATTTACGCACAGCCTCTGGGCCTTGAAACGTTCTGCTTCTGGACTATCAAATTCATCAAAGTTACTTCCACAGCATGACTGTAATAACCTCAACACGCAGTCCCAGGAAGTCGGCGAAGCACTTTGAAATGTAGAGAGCAAACACTCCGAGCGCATCCCTTTGCTGCCAACGAGCGATTATCGTTCTACAAACACGGCCGATGCTGCTTTCGTATAGCGCATGGACGCTCACTTGCTGCTGCTGCAGTTGCAACTCCCGTATACGTTTCCTCGCAGCCAGTGTCGAACTCCGAAGTTCACTGAGCCCCTTCTGTAGTAACCCAAAGTGGCTGCCGCTTTTTATTTCTTCGCTGCTAATGTTAGGACTATACTTGGATACTGAGGCTGTTTCTCTCCGCTGCTGCCGTTGCTGCTGCCCGGTGTTGCCGGTGCGCCGCGATTTGACCAGCCTTTGCAGGAACTGCGCTGCAGGACCAAACCGTGGTGTGTCTCCAGGTTGCATCTGCTTCTGCTGTTCTTTTGTGCTGCTCGAGCTGCTGTCACTGCAGATCGATTCGGTTCTCTCGCGGAAGAAGCTGAAAGAACTATCGCATTCGCTGTTGCAAGAGTTGCTGCAGCTGCTGGTGCCGCTTGCTGCGCTGCTTGTTCTCGCGGAGCTCTTGCTGCTAGAGATGCTCTGATCTTCTTGCAAGGCCTGCATGCTGCTGCTGCTGCTACTGCTGCTGCTGTAGCTCGGGTGCAGCTCACTGTCACAAGTATCGGCACTGCTCTGGCGGCTCTGCTTGGAAGGTAAAGACCCCGCCAGTTGCTTGTGCTTCTGTTGCTGCTTCTGTTCGCTGCTCTGCAGCATGGCGTTGGTCTCTGGTAGAGAAAGCATCTCCAGCGGCACAGCAGTTAACAGATGTTTGCTGTTACTTCGTGCCGTGTCCGTTGACGTCGCACTTTCTTGAGTAGCCACAGACGCTGCAGCATTATCTGCTTTCGTGTGCAGATCAGCAGGCGATTCAACAAGTGCATCTACTGCATTATCAGAAGCTGCTGTTATTTTCGTCACTGGGTGTGCCGAATTTGTCAGCTGCAAGAGTTCATTATCAACCCTGTCTCCTCCACGCATGCATGCCTTTTGCAATTCCACCAGTTGCTCCCGCTGTCTTTGGACGGTCTTTTGAGCGGCATATAGCGTATCTCTCAGCTTCGTTGTTTCTGCTGAATTAGTTTCTTGGCGCGCTTGCAGGGCTAGTTGTTCCCGCTGCAGCAACAATAGCTGCTGCTGCTTCTCCTCATTTTCGCGCTGAGGGACCCAACAGCAGAAGTACTTAAGTTGATGGCAAATATTGACAGTATGAGAGAAAGGGGCATATAGGCTAGCGGCAAAAATAGTGGGAGGAGTGCAGGCTGAAGTGGCTTACAGAAAGAGAATCAAGCTTTTGTTGCTGCAGGAGTAGCTGCTGCTGCTGCTGCTCCAACTTGTATTGCAGCTGCTCAGCTCTGTGCTTCTCTTCCTCTAGTTGTTTCTCCAGCTGTAAGACTTGTGCTACGTGCGCTTTGCACGCATCTTCGTGTTGTTGCTTTTGCTGTTGCTGCTGTTGCTGTACCTGCGACAGCTGGGCTTCTAGGCCAGCTTTCTCCTGCATGAGGCAGCGCAGCAGCTGCTGTTTCGTGGCGATTTGTTGCTTTTGCTGCTCATTTTGTTGCATCAAGCTTTCTCTCTTCTCCGTTTCCTCAGCTAACAACTCCTGCAAAGGCAGCAACAACGAGCCTCCATGGGCTTTAGCATTAGCCCAACAGTGCTGGGGCAGAAGCAGCAACGCATCTGCCTTCTATGGCGCTGTGGCAGCAGAAAGAAGCAACAGCAGCAACAACAAACGCAACAGTGGCAGCGCTAGTCACAGGTAGATGACCTGCAATTCATGCTTAAGGGTAGTAAGCTCGTGCTTTGTCAGCAGCAGCTCATCGCTGCTGCTGTTGCCCTTCCGGAGCAACATGCGTTGCGCTGCAACTTCCTGCCGTAGCTGCTGCTCCTGTTGCAGCAGCTGTTGCAATCTTTGGCTTGATTCAGCCTGCATGAGTCAGCAGAGCCTAAACATAGTTTTGTTTGCTCCAACTGTACCGGTACCTGGTCTCATCCGCGACAGCATGGGTAACAGCGAAAGTGTTTGTGGGATGTCAGCCTGATGCGCAAACTGCTACAGCGGCGCATCGTGCCGAAACAGAGAGTGAGGAAGCCATCCTGCTCTGCAAGCTCAGCAGCAGCCGCAGTAACAGCTACTTCTGCTGCCACATCAACATACTTGGAGGGCAGCGTATCTGTCCTCATGCTCCCTTTCAGCTGCTTCATTCTGTCGATGCAGCTGCTGCAACTGCTGTTGCAGTGCTGCTGCATCCTCTTCTTGCTGCTGCTGCTTCCTTTGCATTCTCAATAGCTGCTGCTGCTGTTCGTGAAGTGCCTGCTGCTGCTGTTGCTGCTGCGATACTGCACCAGCAAGGCGTTTGCGGGTTTCCTCGAGCTCTTCTGATTGAAGCAACACCATCTGCCTCTCTCTAAAAAAAGCAGCCAAAGCACTACTGACCCCAGTATATTCAGACATCGTACAGACACTCCCACCCTAAGGGGGGAGAGGAAGCACTTAGAAAATGGTGGTATGCCTTGCTGCCGATATCGTTGAGTGACTAAGCAGGGGTGTAGGGCCAAGGTCATGGCCGTCTGCCCCGGGGTTTAAAATCATAGGGTTTGCTACCTTTCCAGCTGGAGTTTACCAGCTTCGGTCTCCTCCTGTAGACTCTTTATTCTTGCCTCTTTGTGGGAAACCGCAGCATTCAGCTGTTCCACAGCCTGCATCATTTGCTGTTCGTGCTCCTGTTGTTTCTCGCGCTGCTGCTGTACTTCCTTCTCGGTTTGCTGCTGCAGCAGCCTCAGATTTTGTTGGTGCTGCCGCAGCTGCTCTTCCTGCTGTTGTACTTGCTCACGCAGAAGATTGTTGCACGTTTTCAACTTTCTTAACTCGGCTGCCTTCGCTTGATGCTGGTGCTCTTCTTTTGCCCTTTCCTGCATACGAAAAACCGCAGGAGCATACTAGGAATCAGAAATCACAATCGCAGTGATGAGGTCAACAGCTGCAGCAGCTACAGCAATCTTGAGTTGAAGGACAGGGGCGAAGAGGAATGCACCTCTTCCCTCTGCAGCTTGATAGTCTCAAGCGCCTGTTGAAGCTCCTGCAGCTGTTGCTGTAGCTGTCCTCTTTCGGTGTTCGCCGTTTCCTGGTGCTGGTGCAGCTGCTGCTGCAGCTTCTTTTCGTGTTGCTGCTGTGCTTCCTGCAGTTGCCGCTGGTGGGCACTAGAGAGCTCCGTGATCTGCTTCTGGAACTGCTGTCTGAGCAGCTGCTGCTGCTCCAGGCTCTCTTTGACCTGCTCTGCAGTTGCTGCTGCTGCTGCGTGACACTGCTCCTCCTTCTCTCTTCGCAGCGATTCTACCTAGGGCACAAACTCAAAAATCTGAGAATTTAGTTTTGATATGTCGTCGGTGCAATTGAGAAACAATACA